AATTGCTCCACATTTTCTGAAGAAGGGTCGAGGCCCAAAACGTCAGCCTTCCTGCTCCTCTGATGTTGCTTGGCCTGCTGTGTTCATCCAGCTCTACACCTTGTTATCTTTTATTTGGAACTATTAACTTCTGAAATATTTTGATGTTAAGGAATTATTATTAGCTTAAACTAGAATTCTCTTAATTTTCTAATAATTGCAAATAATTGGCCAATTACAGTTTCGCAGTAACAAAAGTAATTGTCATAATCTAAACAGTTAAGCCCTTGATGCTCTCTAATCATCAGTAGCAATAATGCAACTTATTTGCTTCTTTCAAAAGCTTAATAAAATTTGTCTCCTCTGCCATGCTTTTCCCATTAATTTCATCTTCTCTCTCTTGTTTTGATGTTCCCATTCAGTGAAGTGTTATCATTTTACCACACTATAAAGCAGCATGCTATAAATTGTTGCTGCCATTTGTATTTTGCATCAGTTTAAATAATTGTGCTTACCTGTGCAGAAAATCCATTGAAAAAGGAGTACCAAAAATGAACCAGTGTAAAGGCAAAGTTTTTGTAGAAGAAGTACGTTAAAAACTTGCACATTCGGATGTACGACCATCTCCCATGCACCAGGAGTAATCGCTTCAGAAAACGAAACTGCCCAAAAGCATAGTCACTCGACATGACAGCCTGCATGCCTTCCTGGCCGCTGATTCCCACACCAATATGAGCAGCTGCAGCATGGGTGAATAAAGAAAAGCCTGCTGGTCATTAAAGTTAAACACTGGATTTTCCCAAAGCAAATTGAGAAATTCAACTACCATCATTTGACACATTCTGTTCACAGTATGTTGATATCTGGGGAACTTAAACCAGTTACATATTCTTTTACACTGAGAAACTTGTGTGAAAAGATGAAGATATGCACAAACCAAAGTAGAATAAATTCAGGTAAATTAAATAAATTTGTCAGTTAATTTTGTCCCATGGGTACTGAAAAGATTTCAAAAAAGTGTTCTTAAATTAATTGAAACTACAACTTTTACACCTACATAAGCCATTTAAACATCTGTATGAAGGTTATCATTTACAACACAAAAAAGCATTCACAAAAAATGCCAAACTAATACAGAATGCTGGAGAAACTCGGCTAGGTCTGGTCATATCTGTGGAGAGAACATTTCAGTTTCTGAAAGTAAGCATGCAGGTGCAGCAAGCAGTGAAGAAGACAAATGGTAATGTTGGATTCCACACAGAATTCAAGCACCTGAGCAGGAATGTCTTGCTGCAACTGCACAAGGCCTTGGCCCTGGAGTACAGCATGTAGTTTTAGTCTCCTTATCTGAGGAAGGATATTATGGCTATTGAGGGAGTACAGAGAAAGTTTAGCAGCCTGATCCCGGGGATTCCGGTAACCAAGAGGATGGATGTGGGTAGGGCAGTGGATGTTGTCTATATGGACTTTAGTAAGGCCTTTGCAAGATCCAGCATGGCAGGCTAGTCATGAAAGTTAGGTCATATAGGATCCAGGGAGAACTAGCTAATTGGATTCAAAACTGGTTTGATGGTAGGAAACGGAGGGTGATGGTTGAAGGTTGTTTCTCAGACTGGAGAGCTGTGACTCGTGGCATGCCACGGGGGGTCAATGCAGGGGCCTTTGTTATTGGTTTTTTACATAAATGTTCTGGATGTGAATATATAACGCATGATTAGTAAGTTTGCAGTGATACAAAATTATAGGTATCGTTGATAGTGAGTAAGGTTATCAAAAATTACCAAGGGATCTTGATCAGATGGGGAAGCATGCTGAGGATTGGCAAATGTAATTCAATACAGATAAGTGTGAGGCGTTGCACTTTGGAAAATCAAACCAAGGTAGGACTTATACAGTAAATGTTAAGGTCCGGAGGAGTGTTGTGGAACAGAGGGACCTAGGAGTACAAGTACATAGTTCATTGAAAGCAGCATCACAGGCAGACAAGGCACTGAGTATAGGAGTTGGGGCTTTATGTTACAGTTGCATAAGTCATTAGTGAGACCGCACTTGGAGTATTGTGTACAGTTTGGTCACTCTGTTGTAGGAAAGACATAGTTAAACAGGAAAGTGTGCAAAGCAAGTTTATAAGAATGCTGCCAGGACTAGTAGGCCAGAGTTATAGGGACAGGATGGCCAGGATACAACTTCATTCCGTGGAACGTAGGAGAATGAGGGGTAACCTTATTGAGGTGTATAAAATCTTGAGGGGCATAGATAGGATGAATGCATATAGTCTTTTTCCCAGGAAGGGGGAATTGAAAACTAGAGGGCATAGGTTTAAAAGGTAAGAAGGAAAAGATTTAACAAGGACCTGAGGGGCAACTTCTTCACACAGAATGTGATGTATACATGGATTAGGCTGCCAGAGAAAAGTGGTTGAGGCAGGTACGATAGCAACATTTTAAAAAAACACTTGGATAGGTACATGGATGGGAAGGGTTGAGAGGGATATGGACCAAATGCGGGCAATTGGAACCAGCTGAATGGGCACCATGGACAAGTTTGGGCTGAAGGGCCTGTTTCCATTCTGTTTTACTCTATGACTGTGGAACTGATGGATAGGGAGAGGCTGGATTGGTTAGGGCAACATTCACTGGAGGTTAGAAACACGTGTATGAATCTCAGAAATGATGTTCTCGATGACTGGGGAGCCCAGAACCAGGGGTTACAGTCTAAGGAGAAGGATAGGCCTTTTAGAACAGAAACAAGGAGGCAATTCTTCATCCAAAGGTTGATGAACCTGTGGAATTCTCTGCCACTGGAAACTATTCAGGCCTAAACACTGGAGAGTTTCAAGAAAGATATAGGTACTGGTTTTATGATTAAAGGGATCGAGGATTTGGACAGAAAGTAGGAATCGGGTAGTGAGATGGATGACCAGGTATGATCATACGTTGAGTGAAATGGCCTACTCCTGCTCCTATATTTTATGTTTCTGTGTTTCTAGTCTGACTCAATTCAGAACTACAACCCTTCTGAAGTAGTATCGTTCCAGAATCAATGTATAAACTCTGTTTCTCTCCCCACAGATGCTGTTCAGCCTCCAGCATTTTCTGCTTGCTTCAGATTTCCAGCATCAGCAGTATTTTGATTTTATTTAAGCTTTTTAATGAAAAACGCCATTTAGTTCATTATTGAATTGAATGAAATAGGAATATTGAAAGAATATAACCAATAACAGTCATGTTAAACCAATGTGAAAAGTTGTTCTCTAACTTGTTCCCAACCCCATTATGCCCTGTGGCATATTTCATCATCTCAATGGAGCCCATGGAAGTGACTTGACTTAACTGAAGCAAGAGGGAAGCAGAGCTACCTAATGAGGTGCAATTCAGTGCAAAAACTTATGGTCAATGTCCATTCATTAGCCAAACTGAGTAGACTTTGTCAAAGGAAAGAAAACTAGATTTTTAAAAATTGAGTTCAAACATCAAAAACATTCCATGCTCAATAATGTCATACCTCAGGTCTTCACTTTTCAAAGAGAAATTGTGTTTGGCAACAGTAAAAATTGGGTTATAATGAGTCTCCAGTTCTGGGAAAAAGAATCATAGAATAGATCCCATGTGACTTAATCTTCTGCACCAGCCTAATATGAGGGTCCTTGTCAAATGCTTCATTAAAGTCCATGCAGACAACATCTACTGCCCTGTCATCAATTATCTTCGCCACTTTCTCAAAAAACTTAACCAAACTTATGAGACAAGACCTCCGCTGCAAATTGCCATGCTGATGATCCCTAATAAGTCCAATCTTTCCAAATGCGAGTAAACCATCTCTCTAAAAGCCTTCTCCAATAATTTCCATACCACTGACAATAAGCTCATCAGTCTCTAATTTCCTGGATTATCCCTGTTTCCCTTCTTAAACAAAGGAACGACATTGGCTATTCTCCAGTCTCCTAGGACCTCACCTGTGGCTAAAAAGAGGATATAAAGATCTCTTTCAAGGCCCAGGCAATCTCCTCCTTTACTTCCCTCAGTATCCTGGGATAGATCCCGTCAGGTACTGCTGACTCAGCTACCTTAATTTTTTTTTTAAGGTATCCAACACAACCTCCTCCTTAATATCGACAGGCTCTCCCTAATCTTACCATTATCCAAGTTCTTCTCCTTGAATGAATACCGATGTGAAGTACTCATCAAGGACCTCAACCATTTCCTCTGGCTCCATGCATCAATGCCCTCCTTTGTCCTTCAGTGGACCTATTCTTTCCCTAGTTACCCTGTTACTCCTAGTATACATATAAAATGCCTTGGGATTCTCCTTAATCTGATTTGCCAAGGATATTTCATGGCCCCCTTTAGCTCTCCTAAATCCTTGTTTGAGCTCTTTCCTGCTTTCTTTATATTCTTCAAGGGCCTTAAGGGTGACGAGAGTTTTCGGAAACACCACTGCTGCCTACAGTCAGAGATTGAGAGGTCCTACAAATATATGCCAACATCTTCAATAAGTTTGTGAATGCCCTAACTCGTCAATTTGTCTTTGGCTACACTTCTTAAACTTTGATGGTAGTCTGCAGCACAGGGCTCATCAACGCTGCTTAGTTGATAGATAACAATATAACTTATTTCCTTCTAAAGTAGCTTAGCAGGTCATAATTAGAAGCAGTACCAGCAGTGATCATCATGTACTTCAGAATGTCCAAACAACAGTATTACTATGTTTCTAAAATAAGGATGTGAATGCAGGACAATTATAAAAGAAAGCATGTAATTCTGTGTTCCAGATTGCAATTGTTCCTTAAGGAGATTTTGTACTAAGCCTTTAAAAGGACTGGTTCAAAATTGAAGTTTAATTACACAAAACTTAAAAATTCCTTCTTTGGCCAAAATTCCATCTAACAGGAGAGTTGGGCCACGTTCCCTTTCTTCAGTACATAGAAGCCAAAGGAAAATAGCCTGCAAGAGACCTTCACACTGACAGTCACTTTTAGCCTGGCACTTACTTTTAATCATATTAACATCATTGGCACCATCTCCAATTGCCAGGGTAATGGCTTTCTTGTATTTTTTAACCAAGTTCACCACCATGGCTTTCTGTTTAGGGGTTACACGACAGCAGACCACAGCAGTGCACAGGCAGGCTAAATCCACAAAGTCTTTCTGTCGCTTTTCTTTGGCAGCTTCATCTTTCTGATCTTTTTCCATCTGCATCTTCTTCTCATCCTCTGTTTTTGGCCGCCGAAACCATTTGTTTTTCCTTCTTTTCTTCTCTCTGAGAATTTCATTCTGGAAAACAAGTTGACCATTGAAATAAAGGGAATGCAGTAGGCATTTATCATCTTAAATTGGTTCTGCTATTCAATTAGATCATGGCTGAAATGTGATCTAGCTCACTAAATTCATCTTTGCACTGTTTCCAGTAATATTTCTGTTTAATAAATTTATCAATCTCAGATTTAATCACAACAATTAACCATTGTCAAGAAAACAGATTAAAAGACTTCCAAAAGTCCTACTATTGCATACATACGTTGCCTAATTTCATTCCTGGAAGCCCTAATTCCATTGTTGATGTTAAGTTCCTTGATTCTGAACTCCCCAATAAATGGAAGTAGTTTCTTGACCATTACTCCACTCCATTGATATCTCGAAAACTTCAATAAAATTAATCCTTCACCTTCTGAACACCACTGAATAAATCCCCAAAATAAGAACAGAAAATGCTGGAGAAACTCAGGAAGTTTGGCAACATTTGTGGACAGAGAAACACTCTTAACATTGAGTCTTCTATAACTATTTAAAAGATAAAAGCACCGAAAAATGGTTGTTTTTATGCTGCTAAGAGAGGAAGAGGAAAGGCAAGTTGAACAGATGATGAGGCGTACCCACAGCAAATGTGCTGATTGTGATAAAGCTGAGATGGAGATGTTAAAATAGGCAAAAACAATAGGTGTGAAGGAGGAAAAAATGGGTCTGCTCTGCTCAAAGGAGATTTGAGAGTGCGTATGCATGCAATGGGGGATAGGCTGAACTTCTTGAATACTTAAGGCTGTCGTGTGTCTGAAGGAAAATGAGATGCTGTTCCACCAGTTTTCATTAAGCTTTGTTAGAATCCAGCAGGCCCAGGATGGAAATAATTAGCACGGGTGCAAGGTGGTTCATTGAAATGGCCAGTAACAGGAAGGTTGGTGTCATTCTCTCAGGCAGAGCAGAGGTGTTTTAAGTGGTCACCCAGACCCTGGAATAAAACCCTAATTTGCCTTTGTAACAGAGGAGTCATCTTTTCATTTGGTTTAATCCACCCTTCGATCCCAACAAGCAATGCTGGCTGATTTCTGGAGATAATCTGCTAAATGAGAGAGACAAGTTTATTTAAATTAGTTCAAAGCTAAATCCATCATCCAGCAACAAGGAAAACATGCTGGATAAACTATCTGAAGGTAGGCCTGCTCTCCTGCTCAATTTATGGAACAAAGTGGTATAGACAAAAATATCTGTGCTTGTTTGGAAAATCTTTCAAATATTGTTTGCTGCTAAAACAATTGGTGCAATTTTAATTGAATATGTTCGATGGGAAATGGATGGGATCGGGTGGAGGCTTAGGTTTGCTTTCCCAATATTATTCTCAATTTCTTTCAGAACAAAAATATGTGTGTTAAGAGTAGAGCTAGCATTACATCTGCTGTAGTGAGTTTCATACACAGATTTGATTATTAATGGACCATCCCTCCCATACCCCATCTCTGTTTGCGCTGGAAATCAGTTCAGATTTACCCTTCAGACTATTTGTTATTGTGATTTTTCTTCGGATATATAAAATATTAATAACTCTTCTTACTTACCAACCAGGAACCAGTAATGATCATTGCGGGTTTTACATCTTGAGGGAAGATGTTGTTCTCATAAGTGCTTGCGTTTGTTTGTCCTTCTGCCATGTTTGCCCTGTTTTTTTGCATGGTGTTTAACAGGTCACTGTAAGATCAATTTAGCCGACATTAAGAATCTCATCACATCTTAAATTTCTGATAATTAGCCATGTAATGATGCAAAACTTTACAAGATGGTCATGATTTGGAATGCACCGTTAGCTCAAAGTAGAACAAAGAACACAGCCACTAAATATGTCTGCGAGATCAGGCTACCATGGGGAGGGAAACTCAATCAAAAACATATTAAAGTGTTAGGGGCTAGTTTGAACACCTTAACACAATGTCTCACAGATAAAATTTCCGTGCCATTAAATGAGGAACAGAGCATACAGGAATCATGGAGACTTAAGGAATGAAAAATTGCCAAAACGTGTGCCTTGCTAGGAATCATCAGATCCAAAAAGCATGAATAGTGAGTAGAAGAATTATCGAAAAACACTGGGAATTTCAAGCTGGCATGACAGGGAGACATGAACCTGCTGAAGAAGTGATTGTGCAAGGGTTTCTGACATGCTCAATATCTTCCTGAAGTACGGCACACAGAAAAAAAAGGCTCTGTAAGACATATTTTGACTTTGTTAGTTAATACAAAACTTGCTCTTTTTGTTAGGTTGATGTATTAGGTGTTTGTTAATTCAAGTTTTATCATGTTGTTTTCAGCACATTGGAGTACAAGTCTTAAAATAGGAAATCTTGTCCTACTGTTCTTTCCATTAGTTGCTGGGAAATTGTTTCTAAAGTTTTTAACCTCAATGGGTGTCATTACAAATCAAGGGCTATTTTGGTATCAAACCCATAAGCTGTAAAATGTGCACATTGGAAAATTACAGAAATTAACACACACCATTTCACATTTGCTTTTGGTTGTATTCAATGAAAAGTTAACACAACTACTTTGAATGGTCAGGAGTTTTGGAAAAAAGTTTGTTAGGGACTTGTAACTAAAGGTTAATTTGAAGTCTGTAGCAGAGGAAATAGGTGAAACATGAAATCAGGAGCTGAAAGGGCAGATATTTAAGTAATTTTGACTCAGCATGTGAAATTTGAAAAGTGTTGAAAAACACTCAAGTTGAATCAGCTGCAAACAAAGAAACTTGAATTTGAGAAAGAACATACAACACAGAAAAGTCCAGCACAGGAACAGGCCATTCAGCCCACCATGTCTGTGCTGGCCATAATGCCATTCTAAACTTGCACATGGTCCAGATCCCTTATTACCTGCCTCTTCATATGACTGTCCAAATGCTTCTTAAACATTACTATTGTATCACGTTTAAACTTTTCTCCTCTCACGTTAAACCTCTAACCTCTAGTATTTAACATTTCTAACCTGAGAAAATAGACTCCGACTATCCACCCTACTCACACCTCTCATAATTTTATATGTTCCTATCAGGTTGACCCTCAGCCTCCGACATTTGAGCAGACACAATCCTTGTTTGTTCAATGTCTCATTTGCACCTAATACATTCAAATCCAGTTAATGTGTTTTTAACTCTCTATTGCACCCTCTCCAAAGCCTCCACATCCTTCCTATAGTGTGGCAACCAGGATTATATGCAATATTCCAATTCTGGCCTAACTAAAGCTCTATGCAGCTACAACATGACTTGCCAAATCTTATACACATTTTCATCCAAATCATTTACACATATTACAAACAACTGGTTCCAGCATTGATCCTCGTGGATCATCATTGGTCACATTCCTCCAGTCAGAAAATCACGCTTCTATGACAAAACCATTTCTGCATCCAACTTACCAGCTCACCATGGATCCCATGTGTCTTAAACTTCTGGACCAGCATACCACAAGGGATTTTGTCAAATGTTTCAGAAAAGTCCAAGCAGGCGATATCCACTGCACTACTTTAAATTATCTTTGTCACTTCCTCAAAATAACTTAATCATGTTTGAGACTAGACTGCTCATGCACAAAAGCATGCTGACAATCCCTAATAAGTTCATTCTTGTCCAAACGCAAGTAATTCCTATCCCTAAGAATCTTCTCCACAAGTTTCCCTACCACTGACATAAAGCTTATCAGCCTACAATTTCCTGTATTATCCCTATTGCTCTTTTTCAAGGAACATCACAGGCTTTCTCCAGTCTTTTGGGACCTCACCTGTGACTAAAGAGAAAGATCTCTGTCAATGCCCCAGCAATTTTGTCCCTTGTCTCCCTCAATATCCTTGGATAAATCTGATCAGGTGCTGGGGATTCATCTACGTTAATGTTTTTCAAGACACCCAACATGTCCTCCTTCTCAATATTAAATGCATCCCTCCCTAATTTTACCATTATTCATGCCCTTCTCCTTAAATACAAAGCACTCATTAAAGAATCTCACCCATTTTCATCTGGCTCCATGCATAAATTCCACCCTTTGTTCTCAAATGGGCCTACCCTTTCCTTAGCTACCCTCCTGGTCCTAAAATACGCATAAAATGCCTTCGGATTTTCATTAATTCTACTTGTCCAAGGACAATTCTTGGCCCCTTTTAGTCTTCTTAATTCCGTAAATTCTTTCCTGCTTCCTTTATAGCTGTTAGAGGCCTTTTCTGATTTCAGTTTCCTGAACTTTACATTTCTGAACAGGTTGATGAGAAAAATAGTTTAAACCAAAAGGGGTGGCCGTTGTGTCACAAGTAAGTAACAGGTTATTAATTGGAAGCTCAGTTAAGAAATCTACATTACAGTGGAGAAAATGGCCCAGAGAATTAAACAGACACTCCACAAATTAGTGGGAGAGATAATCTGGATGACAAATTTTATTCAAAAGGACTGACATGTTGTCTTTATGATTAAAAAAAAAAGACACGTGAAGGTGGATTGCTGTAAATTGAAATGCTCATTTGCACAGTTCTCCAAAAGTACTGCCTCAGTGAGTAAAGCTTGTAACAAGTCAATCAGGATACAGAAAATTATCCAAGTTCTTTTTGAAAGGTTCTCACTGTTGACAGGCGAGGCAAGGAAGCTGATTGTTATTCCTTGAGATGCAGGAATAGCAGAGTCAGGAAGTTTGCAAATTAAAAACTTATTGATGGAGATTGAACTAACACTATATGAAGGCATAAACAAAGTGTGACTTCCTTACCAGTCCCGTAATTGTGGGTAGTTGTTTCTAATTGCCTTATCAAGATGATGATTGCTCATTCAGAAATGACTTGACTGTGGATAATGTATGGCCATGTCAAAAGCCCACTGAGGCTGTTGAAATTGAATTTGTACTTCAAGAAAAGCGGAGTAAATTGAGGGGAATACAAATCAATGACATTTTACAAATCTGCTCAAAGAATTAAAGGTTTTTGCTAAAGAAGTGTCCAAAGAGTCAAAAGTTCAGCAAATAAATTTTGAGGACATTGGAATATCAGGCTGAAAAGAAGATTAACAGCAGTTGGAGACAAGTTAAATCTGATTGAATTAAAAATGAGGGAAACCATGAACAAAGTGTGATGACAAATATGGCACAAGCACCTAAAGTTGATGTTGTAACATACGAAGGAAATGCTTTGCATGAGTGTAAATAGATTAATCATGTGATGACAAGATAGAACTGTCAGGAAAGAAAGTCTTAAACATAAACTAAAACATCAAAATGACAAGGCAAAATGCTCTTGGTAGAAAGGAACTATACAAAACTTAGACACAGTGGAAGGAAAGAAAAAAAACTTTTCACAAAATTTGTGACTAAAGAAGAAAAATGTCAATTTCTTTTTTAAGCTGAAGATTAAAATAACTTTGACAAAGTTAATGAAGCAGTAAAAGAGGACTTTACTTCAAAACAAAATAAACAGCTTGCACTGAAGAAGGCAGTATTAAAACTGCATCTCTTGGAAAAGCAAACTGAAAAAACACACCACAGGTAAGATCTTCAGTGTAAAATTTTAACTGAATTTTGACAGGATGAGGCAAATTTAATTGTTATGAAGGACAAATTGGATATCTGGTTGTTTGAAACTTTTTCCCTAAGACTTGGACATTAAGATAAAGAAAGGCAGAAGAAAATGGATCAGTGTAGTTCAAAATCAGGGGCTCTTGTAGCAGTGGTAACATCCCTATCTCTCAGTCAGGAGGCCTGGGTTCAAGTCCCACCTGTTTCAGAGGTCTGTAATAACATCTCCCACCAGGCTGATTAGAAGATAGTATAAAAAGTGACAGCGCTGATGATAATTTAGAACATGGATTTAAAGGACAACAAAGAACATTGCCGAAATCCGAGTTCAAGAGGAGATATGACAGGGAGTTCTCCTTGGATTCTAATTCACAGAGACAGGTACTTAGAAGTCAGGTGATTTGCCAGCTATGTTGTTCTTGGCAAAGTTCACCACACCATACAAAATTTCAAGCCTTTGGGCCAACATGAACATTAGAGAATCCTGACTGTACATAAACCACAGATTTTAAAAAAGCAACATGAAGAATACTATCTTGTCAATAGTGTGGAGCTGGAGGAACACAGCAGGTGACGCAGCAGAGGAGTAGGAGAGTCGATGTTTCGGACAGTCCTGAAGAAGGGTCTAGGCCCGAAACATCGACTCTCCTGCTCCACTGATGCTGCCTGACCTGCTGTGTTCCTCCAGCTCCATACTGTATTAACTCTGACTCCAGCATCTGCAGTTCTTGTTATCTCTCTCATGAAGAATATTGTCTTCGGATGTAAGACAGGAAGAAAAAAACTTACAAACTATGTAAAATGCAAAGGATTGTTTGCAGTGATTCATTAAAAAGTTAAATGAAAAGAAAATAAATTCTTATTCGCGAGCAAGATGGAACTCTAAGAATTTGTTTAACTCAACTTTAAACCCAAAGTGTTGCACACTGTTGGCTTTTACTGGTTAAGCCTTATAACATTTCTAAGACAGAATCTTCCATGATGAATTATGGCAAAAGGGGAGAATATTACTTGTACTGTGTATAATAAGTTAGTTATTAAAATGTCTACAGTGTTGGAACTCGATGACTTTTCATAGCGTTCAGAGAAAGAAAAAATAAATCAGTGCCATTCTGAGATATTTTCATGTGGGTGTAGTGTCGTTCTGTGACCAGTTCTGAGTCACATCTCAACTCCCCAGAGCTTGTCCATCATCTACAAGGCACGGGTCAGCAATGTGAAGGAATACTCTCCACTTGCCTGGATGAGTCTAACTCCTTAAACACTCCAGAAGCTTGACACTATCCAGATCAAGCAGCCTGCTTGATTGGTACCTCATTCACCATCTTGAACATTCAACTCTCTTCACCACAAGTAATAGCGCAGTGTACTACCTACAGGATGCATTGTAGCAACTCACCAAGAGTCCTCACCAGCACTTGTTGCCTGGGAAGGATAAAGGTTGTAGATGCACGGAAACATTACCACCTACAGGCTCCCCTCCAAATTACATAACATTCACACTTGGAACTACATTGCAGCTCCTTCATTATTGCTCAGTCAAATTCTTGAACATCCCTCCTCAAAAGTGCAGATGGACTGTAATGGTTGAAGAAAGGGACTCAGAAACACAGGGGCAATTAGAATTGGGCAATAAGTGCTGGTCTTGCCAGTGATGCTCAAATCCCAAGAATGAATTCAAAGAAATAATGGTATTTGAGCCAATAATTTTCTTTCTCACGATACCACTGCTGAGGGTGGTCCTTTTGTAAATGTTAATACTCTCGCTATGCTGTAAACAAACTTGGAATCACCTGAAAAGACAATAACCTGTAACTGTCACCTGCTTTCTTCTGAACTAGCTCCATTTCATTGGAAAACTTTCGATGAACATACAGATCAGAAAGCTACAGTACTGGATATCTGCGACTGCATTCATGTAAATCTGCATTCAGAAGATAAATTACATACTTCAGAGGCCACAGATACTGGACTGTTCAGTTATTTTTTCAAAAATACTAAGTTTCAATTTCTAAAGTAAAGCTGCATATACAGAGAAATCTAAAATTGGTTATCATGAGTTCTGCTTTGGAGTGGAAGGAAGCTATTTTGAAGGTAAATTTAAAAAGGGTCAATGAGCAGATATTAAATTGAAATTAAGTTTGGACTCAATCCTTGCAAGGTAAATTCAGATTGTCTTGGTTTCAAATTTCACAAGATTTTTTTTGTGTATGTTCATTATGTAGAAACTACGGTGACGGCCCTCGCCTCTCAATTAGCAGATCATAGATTTAAGCCCCATTCCAGACAAATGAATAAACAAATCATCTAGGCTGAGACTTCAGCACAGTTCTGAAGGTGCAGCGCCATTGCTCGGCTCTTCTAAAAGGAGTCACAAAAATCACGACTCGTTCTGCTTTATAAAGTGGCTGTAAAATTCTGATTGCATGATTCGCGCAAGATAATGGCTATTATTTATTACTTAAGTAATAATTACTTTGAAGAAAAGGGATGAAAGTTACATTTCTCGCAACCTTTAGTGGAACCTTGCTGTGTGCAAAATGGTTGCTCTGTTTTCTACATTAAAATGGTGCCTATATTTCAAATGTACCTCATTGGATGCAAAGCTCGCCAGAAGTCATGAAAGATGCATTAGAACCACATGACCTGTTACTAAGTTTAAAAAATACTCACTTGATAGCTTCTCCATGATAAATAGTCATGTCATTGGTTAGTAAATTGCAGGAAAAGCCAATGTTTTCGGCAGTTTCTAGTTGAAGAAAGAAATACTTTTTATTAGATCAAAGTCAAAAAATCCCAAGAGCAGCAGTTTTTATTGATAATATTCGTCAAAAAGAATACAAGTGATGTAAAATGGAATAATTCCTGTATGCGCTATCGGTTTTCACTTGTAAACAATTCAGATTTAAACGTAGTGCAGATTCAAGGCAGGATAACCATGCCCCAGTTCTACCCTCAAAAAGGTTCTATTTAAACTTTGAAAAAGCCCCATTAAATTATTTCAAAGGTCATTACATGAACTTTCAATTCTTTCCAAGCCAAATTAAAATCACACGTGAAATTACGCTCAAATCTGTGTTGTACAGCAAGCTAAAACCATACCAAATGCTATTCATTAAGAGACCAAAGGAATCCAGCAAAGACCAGGTATTAGTGCTTGGATTCACTGTTCAAAGTCCCCAGATGAAATTAATATTCATTTTAACTGAGATAAATTGAATGCAGTGGTAATCAAGCCCCACCACTCCTCCAGACACATCATTATTATAATAGTTTTGATTCAATCATCAAAAGAGCCAATGGTTTTCCCTTTTGGTGTTACTATCCTGAATAAAAGAGACTTTAATTAGGCTTTATTAGTGAACTCAAAATAATCCATTAATTCCAAAACGAAACTCGCTCTTAAAAACAAGAGGCAAAACGAGGTAACATCTAAGATAAAATCCAGTTTTATACACACTCCCACAAGACAACACACAGAGATATTTTTTAATTGACAAGACAAAAACACCCTTCCCTATTGGCTAACAGTCTAAAAACAAGGGATTCAATTCAGCTGGATCCAATTTTTTGGATAGTGGTGACAGATCAGCTTTTCAAGTGTTTACAAGGTAATCAAAATACTGAGAAGTGGAAACTTTATTAGATTTCCAAGTACTTCTACCAAGGAGGGGAATCTTGCAGCTGTGCTGCCTTTTCTTTCCTTTCTTCTCTGATCCCCTAGGCTTATAATGGATAAACAAGTCTATAAAGGGTTGTTAGCCAATCATCTGTCAGATGCAGCCAGTGCCTCTTCCACGGACAGTTTTTCAAGCAATTAAGAGCAATAATTCCATCTCTTATCTCCTTTAAAGTTTTGCTTGGCTATTTTGCCAAAAGTCATTTGACTTTCTAAAACGAGTAGTAGATTCCAGTCCGCCTTCAACAGTTGACCACATCAGTTGTTTTTAAACACTTGGTAAAACAAAAACTGTTTTTAATTCAACAGATTCAAGATATTCCAGTTCTCCCTATTGTCCAGAAATATATAGATATATATTCTCAACATGTTCACCTCACGATATAAATCCCAGAAACAAGCGAGTTGTTAATTCTGAGATGGGCCAAGTATCTTTATTTGTAAACATTCACAATGTTAACACAAATCAGGAAGACCAAGCCACTTATCTTTGTTCACTGCTTCCTAACACTATTAAAATCAACAATTCCAATTTCTGATAATTACAGCTTCTAATTGGCTTTTAAATGGTTCTGTGACTTGTTTCTACTGCTCTATCTTGGAGTTCATTGCATGTATAAATTACTTTGTGGATTAATCAATGCATTTTGTCATTTTCAGTTTAATTTGAAATGATTTTCTCATTTTATTTAGTCACACAGTTTACCTTGTTACACAAGTCTACTTCAAAGATCTCTACTTTCATTTTGTTGTTGCTGAACTGCATTGTGTGTGTCAAGCACTGACTGTATTAACACTACTGAATGATTTTCAGTCTTGTCTTTAGCTAATAACGTTTTTAAAAAAAAAAATCTTCTTGACTTACTTATTTGGTATTCTAAGGGAAATCTACTGACCTCCATAGCACTATTTATGCGAGATCACGAGTTGTTAGCAAACTCTTGACCCTTTTTACAAAGATTCTTTTGAGGTTTATCACAACAACAAAGACTTGAAAACAGCACCTTGACGACAACCCATTCAGCCTTGTTTTCATCGCTCCCCTCTTATGAATATATAGATGCACTAGTGCCTCTCCAAAGCAGCTGTATGACAGCCGCCACTCCAAGCAGGCTGAGTGGGTTACATGGTCTGCTCTACTCCTATTTCACATGTTCATGTGTTTCAACGGGTTTGTATATAATTTCATGACGTCTTTGACAGAAAGGTATATTTTATCAAGTTTCTGCTTGGTGGTGTAGTGGACAGCGAAGAAGGTTACCTCAGAGTACAATGGGACCTTGATCAGATGGGTCGATAGGCTGAGGAGTGGCAAATGGAGTTTAATCCAAATAAATGTGCGGCATAGGTTTAAAGTGAGAGAGATAAGATTTAAAAGGGACCCAAAGGACAACTTTTTCACGCAGAGGGTGGTGTGTGTATATGGAATGGGTTGCCAGAGGATGTGGTGGAGGCTGGTATAATTACAACATTTAAAAGGCATCTGGATGGGTAGATGAAGAGAAAGTTGAGAGGGATATGGCGCAAATGCTGGCAAATGGGATTAGATTAGTTGAGGGTATCTGGCCAGCATGGACAAGTTGATCAGGAGGGTCTGCTTCCGTGCTATGCAACTCTATGACTCTATGAACATGATTTTTGGCAGTGGAAAACAGATCATGGTCTATTTCAAGTGAATAGCATCAACATTAAGGGCTACCAGACCAAGAACAACCAGATTTCAGAGTACAGAAAACATTCTGTGCTGAACTAACAAAATGCCTCCGCCCAGCTCAGAGTAACACAACAATCTCCATTATCAGCAATGGTGATCTTTCCAAATTAGGTTGCCAGTTGTGTGTGTCTTATTACCAAGTTGAAACAGAACTGTAATGAAACAGACAAAAAGAATAATGACACATCAAACTCTTCAAGCCAGAGAGAGAAAATTTAGATTCACTAAATGCAAGTCAGTTTTAACCCAGATCCCATAGATTAAAACAAGGAACAAAAACAAAGTTGCTGGAAAAGCTCAGCAGGTTTGGCAGCATCTGTGCAGTTAACAGAGTTAACGTTTCGGGTCCGGTGACCCTCCCTCAGACCCTTCCCCGTAGATTAAAACTTCACATCCAAGTCACTTAATCAGTCAAATCCTCCTAATCCTTAAATTATAGTAGAATGCACCAATGAGATTATAACTCATGGTTAATCATTAAGCTTTGTTCAAGATTCTAAACCAGTCAGATTGACTCTGACAGGCAATGACAGTGTCCTGAGAAATGAAGCCGAGCATGACTGTCACCTATTTTCTTGATTGAAACATATGCAGCACGTGTAGATTTTCCAAGATTGACAGAAAGAACATGCGGTAATGTAGGAATTCCAACGTGTACGTTGAGGAGTGAAGGCAATATTACAGTAGACGATGGTGAAGAATCAAGCTAATTTCTCAACAAGAAAGGGAGTTCATTTCACTGCTCAGTTTCAAAGGTGGATTTGACTGTAAAGTGGAACCATTAAGACATGTAAGGAAATTCTTGTCCATGCCTGCGGATGCATATGTAGCAGGAGCATCATTTACATCTTGGACTATTTACAGGGTTGGATATAAAGGTCTCCTTCAATTGAAATCAAGTTTGTCATGGAACTAAACAAAAATATTTAGATGAGCTGGGCCTAGCCTGGATCTAATGGCAATAACATCTTTTTGCACACACATGCCTCTATTAAAACTGGACTCAACTTGCTGCATTCATAAATTTAATGAATTCTGAATCTCACAATGGTTGCTCGTTTAGATTGCACCCAATGGATGCAAGATGAAATGGATGCAATACAAAAGTTACGTATTACTAAATGATGATTTGTACGCCTGAGATAGATTTACAATGAAGACTAAATTTGGGATATGAACAACATATTTAATTAATTGACCCATTGAGGAGAGTCATCATCTAACTGGGACATTCTCAATGGCAATGCTTCTACCAACCAGAATTCACTTGCTTATTAGCTCTCTACTCTAATACAGCATAAATGTTCCATTCTCTTTACATTAATAATTAGTCATGAATTGCCTGATGCCTGCAAGACTGAAAGTTTCAACAATTGTTTTTGCAGCGACATGCAAGCTCTGCAATACCAAATAATGAGCTTAATTTTAAGATTGATCGAGAACTCAAATGGATGAAAGATTGGATACAAAACTAATTAGAATAATTACTTACCTTTTTTGTCCCCTGTTAATACCCAGATTTTAATATTGCCTTTTTTAAGGGTTTCAATTGTCTCTGAAACACCATCCTGCAGTTTATCCTCTATAGCCGTTGCTCCAACAAGCTGGAATAAATAGTAAGTATGAATGTCACATTGGGAAAATAATAAGCAAGAAGAGAAGACCATGAAATGACACAACAAGATGCCAGAATCCAAATTTTTATGACATACTCATTCAGTCCACATTACTGAAATACACAGCATCAGTCTGCAAACTCCATAACATGCTTCCTGTGCTACCTTATTCCATTTTTTTAGGATATACTTTTTTTTTGTCCTTTAAGTCACTGAAAGTACATGTTCCTAATGATCCAGTCTCTGGTTAAAGGAATTTTTCCACATTATCAAATTTATGAGCTACTATATTAAAATTGAGGTCCTTACAAAACTTGCTGCACTTCTATTTGAATTGATGTGTTTGTCCAAAAGAAACAAAAAGGAAAACAAGTGTGTCGAGAAAACCCCATTAAAAAGGATGAAGTTGAATTTTGTACAGTGACAATGAGAAAACTTTTTAAACTCTTCTACTCCTCTTTCTTCAATGAGGAGACTCAGAGATACAAGTACCCTTAACACATCATTACTCTGCCAACTGACTATGTGAATAAATCAACAATCTACCGGCCTCATTGTTCAGATTTAAAGAGAGCATATTCTATACAAAAAGCTACTTCTTTAACCCCAAGCATCAGAATGTCATCCTATTTTATCTACAGCACTGCCTGATTTATACCATTAATGGGGCTAATATAATCAGAAGGATTAAGGCTAAAATATCAGCTATTCTCTCCCCTGCTAAATAAAAAGTATTCATAAATTATTTTGTCTTGTATCAAGCCTGACAAGTGCAAAAAAATTTCCCCAAATACACCTAACATTACAGATTAACTCTGTAAACTGCTCTTTGCTTCAACTTATCAAAATATACAACATTCAAAATTTTCAATGAACCCGAGAACAAAAGTTGAAAAAGAAAGTTTGAGGCAGCAAAACTGGACTGTTATATTATGAAACACACTATAACAGACAGAATAGTGAATTTGAAAGGCAGAACAATTAAACCATGACAGATCAAAGAGTGTCAAATAGATAAACAAAATGATTTTTGTGAAAATAAACTACACGTACCAACAAATTTGTTTCAATTTCTTCATAGACTCTGCTAAGTGCTTCATCACGGTTGTTTGTGGAAACACTGGCTGCTTGAAATCTTTTATTCCACACTGCAAACTCTGCTTCACTAATATCTTTGTATGCTAGACACAAAGTTCTGAGTGTTTCATCTGCAAATGCCTGTAAAACAAAAAGATATACATTCATTTTTGCTCGTACTGTTTTACTTTAAACTCCAGTGCTGCATCTTCAGGTGTAACAAGAAGGGCAAGAACATTTGCAAACCTCCGCAACTAATGTGTCCATCCAAGTTTACAGGAGTGAGATTGCCCTTTCCCATGGCTGCCTGGTCACAAGACTAAAAGATTGCTTTAACCCACTAATTGTTCACCTTATCCAAATGGCAGAAGCTGGATTAGGACTCCAATGACATGATCACTGGGCACCGCCTTCTAACTTCATCTGAAGCATCAAGGAACTGTTATTGAACCTATTGCTAACAAGTTGGGTTCGTAGAAGGTTTAGTGTTTCTCTTCAGATACTCTGAGAAGGCATTCTGACCTGAAATTGGACAGTACCAATGGGTAGGTTTTTTTTTATTCATTCACGGGATGAGAGCAACACTGACTAGCATTTATTGCCCATCCCAGAGGACAGTTAGGAATCAAAGACAATTCTGTGGGTCTGGAGTCACATGTAGACCAGACCAGTTTCCTTCCCTAAAGGGCATTAGTGAACCCGACGGGTTTTTTCAACAATCAACGATGGATTCATGGTCATCGTTGGACTCTTAACTCGAGTTTTTTTAAAAATTCAAATTCTACCATCTGCCATGGCGGGATTCAAACCCTGATCCCCAGGACATTACCTAGGTCTCTGGATTAATAGTCTAGTGATAATATCAGTAGATTATCACCTCTCCTCAGAGCCTGCAATCATTTGACTGGGGAGGACATGAATTGATAGCTGTGCCAACTGATATTCACAGTGTTGTTAGGGAAGGAGTTCCACAATTTTGATCTAGCAACACTGAAAGAATGGCGATACAGTTCCAAGTCTGAATGACGTGGCTTGGATGGGAATGTGCAGCTAGTTGTGTACTGTGTACCTGCTGCCTTTGTCCTTCGAGCTGCGACAGGTGACAGATATGGAAGCTGTCAAAGCAGTCTCAGTGAGTTACCGCACTGACCGTTGTAAATAGTACACCGTGTCGAAGGGAGTGAGTGTTGAAGGTATTTGTTGGGATGTTGATCAAGTGGACTGTTTTCTCCTGGATGGCGTCAAGCTTCTTGAGTGATGTTAAAGTTGCACTCATGCAGGAATGTAGCGAGTGTTCCATCACACTCCTAACTCGTGCTTGGTAGTTTATGGACAGGCTTTGGGGATTCAGTACCAGATTTCCAGCCTCTGACCTGCCCTTGTAGCCACAGTATATTAATGGCTGGTCCAGATTATCTTTTGGTCAATGATAGCCCCCAGACCGTTGATATTGGGGGATTCAGTGATTGTAATGAAAATCAAGGAGTGATGGTTAGATTTTCTCGTTGAAGTTCATCATTGGCTGGCACTTGTGAGGCACAAGCATTGATTTTGTCCAGGCTGTACTGCATTTGGATGTGGACTACTTCATATTTGAGGAGTCATGAGTGGTGCTGAACATTGTGCAATCTTCAGTGAACCGCCCACTTCTAATCTTATAGAGGAAAACTTCATGGTGCCCAGAACCTGTTTTGAGGACATCAAAGGCAGCTCATTCCTAACAGCATATGACTGCCACCACATCTTGTGAACATAAAGAGTCACATTGCTGCAGATCTGGAGTTATATGTAGGCTGGACCAGGTAAGGATGGCAGGTTTCCTTCCCTGAAGGCCATGAATGAACTAGCTGGTTTGACCACTGTTACATAGTTGCCACTGGGTTAGCTTTTAATTTCTTATTTAAAAATTGATTTCAAATTTCACTATCTGCCATTGTGCGGTTATCCTGGCTCTGGATTACTTGACCAGTGACATTACCACTACATCACAGTCTCAACCATTTTATATTCTGGAGCTAATTTTGTATCTAAGATGACACTGACCTATTGCATGAATCTTCATTTCGTTTACCAGCCTTTTCTTTGTTTCTTGGTTGCACACTTTCTTATAATGGGTGTTGTCGTATGGATTTAATTTCCTCCTTCATGTTTTCCTGTTAGTTCATGAAATAAATCAATCGAGGAGGTGGTAATGGTTTTATCACTGGTATGGCAATCTATAGACTCAGGCTAAAGTTCTGGGAACTAGGTTTTGAATTGCACCATGGCAGGTGGTGAAATTTGAATTTGGTTATTAAATCTAGCATTAAAAGATAGTCCAATAGTGGCCATGAATGTATTGCTGGCTGTGGCAAAACCCATTTCTTTCAGACCAATGCCCTTCACAGTATTCATGACATGAAAGAGTAATTTTGTTTCGAGTCAGAGAGATGTATAGCATGGAAACAGATTCTTCGGTCCAACATATCCACATTGACCAGATATCCCTCTTGGCAAATACCCCATTTGGCCCATATCCCTCTAAATCCTTCCTATTCATATACCTATCCAGATGCCTTTTGAATGTTGCATTTGTACCAGTCTCCATCACTTCCTCTGGCAGCTCATTCCATACATGCACCACCCTCTTTGAAAAAGTTGCCCCTTAAGTCCCATTTAGTAAGTTACTCTTACAAATGGACACAGGATACATATGCTACGAGAAGAGTAGTTACGATGATATTGAGGAGTTGGAAACATGTAAAATATGAGTGGGCGTAGGCCATTCAGTCCTTCAGACCTGCTCCACAATTCAGAACGATCACGGCCGATCATCCAACTCCCTGCCGTGGTCCCACTTTATCCCTATACCTTTTGATCCATTCAGCCCCAAGAACTATATCTAACTCATTACCTAAAACATTCAATGTTTCAGATCCAACTGCTTACTGTGGCAGAGAAATCCATAGGCTCATCACTGTTATCCTAAGTGGTCTACCCCAGATCATTAGACTGTATCCTCTGGTTCTGGATTACATTTCTCCTTCTTCTTGAGCTCCTCACCACCTGCCACAGGCCAGTCTAGTAGCCATTACATTATTAAGGACTCTGCCAGCTTAGTCAGTAGTGGTATCACTGAGATGCATTTAGTGATAAGTGTGGGAAGTCCCCCATCAAGAGATTGTGTCTGTACTTACCACAAGTCTTAGGAACAAATATAAGTCAATTGGCCCATCAGGTCTTCCCCACCATACAATGAGATCGCGTACCATCTGATTATCTTGAACTCCACTTTTGCCTTTTCCCCATAAGCCTTACTGGTTTAAAAATCTGTCTGTCTCAGCCTTGAATATACTTAATGACTCAACCTCACTGGCCTCTGTGGTAAATAATTCCACAGATTTGTGCCCATATGAGGAAGAAATTCCTCCTCATCTCTGCCTTAAATGGGTGACCATTTATTTGGAGATTGTCTCCTCTGGTCCTTTACTCTGCCACAAACCATTGCACATGGAAAACATTAAATGATGTCTATTCTGAAGAAGGGTCACTGGGCTCAATATTAACACTGCTTTGCCTCCACAGATGCTTCCAGACCTGATGAGTTTTTCCGTAATTTTTTTGTTTCAGATTTCCAGCATCCATAGCTCTTCATTTAATTACATTATTCATGATTTGTCTTCATCCTAAAGCTGGTCAAGTTGTAGGGAAAAATGGATATCCAAGGAAGAATTTTCTTCAGCCCATGTAATGGATCAGTCCAGCATGGTTTGATTGTTTATTAAGAGGTATGTGAGTACCATTGGTGAGGTTTTGCTGAGTGTGGTTTACATACACTGTATAATGAAGGGGCTTCTTACATGAACTGGGTGTTTATCAACTTGCTTTCCAGATAATGCATGTGGAAAGATAATGATATCCAAGTCACCGAGCAGAACCTTTTTATTATTATATCCCTTGTTTTATGCTATTGTATGTCTAAGACTTGGAGTAGTGACACTGATACAGAGGGCTGTCTCAAAGCAGAAGATAGCAACATTAACTTGAGAAAATAACTAAGGAAGGCCTGAAATTTGTATGCTCCGTCATGCCTTCAGTTGGAGTACCTCAATCACCCCAGGAAGTTTTAGAAGCGAGTACAGTTACAACATTTAAAAGACATTTGGACAGGCACGTGAATAGGAAAGGTTTAGAAGGATAGGGACCAAATGCAGGCAAATAGTACTAGTTCAGTTTTGGAAACTTGGTCGCATGGATGAGTTGGGTCAAAGAGTCAGGTAGCATGGCAACAGGCCCTACGAGTCGAGGATGTCAGATGAGGGTTGTATCTAGCTTGGATGTGATGAATTGTAACTTGACCCCTCTTGTCTGAATTGTTAGCTGACAAACACTGCTAATCCACGTGAACTGTGCCTTAATTGAAGCCATTGCATTCTGGTGGGAAGAAAATTGGGAAAAGTAAACTTCTTTCTTGTACTTCTTGTATTACTGGTAAACCAGAACTCTGGACTAATACACTGAAGACATGAGTTCAAATCCCACCATAGCAGATAGTGAAATTTTAATTCTATAAAAATCTGGAATAAAAAGCCAATCTGATGATAACCATACTAATTGCTGAAAAACCCATCCAGTTCACTAATGTCCTTTAGGGGAGGAAATCTGCCATCCTTACCTGGTCTGGCCTACGTGTGACTCCAGGCCCACAACAATATGGCTGACTTTTAACTCTGGGCAATTAGGGATGGACAATAAATACTGTTCTAGCCCACATCCCACGAATAAAAACTAAGTAATAAACACGCATTCTTCTTCATTCTAACAGCTCCACGTGCGACTGCAAGATAACAAATGAAAGACAATGCTGCAAAATACATTATTTATAGATCCTTTCCATGCAACTCCTGCACAACAGAAGGAAAAAACAAGGCATTTTCCAAAATTATTTGGATAACCTTGGAATTTCAGGCTTTTAACAGTTGATCAGGATGGGGGAAAATGTCAGTGCTCAATTTATGACAACATGCAAAACACAAAATGACTTGAGTTTCTGTCTTACCGTTAAAGCTTCTTCAGTGGCCTCATGATTAAGACTGTTGGGATCTAATCTCTCATATATCACAACATCAGCACCTTTACAATAGAGTTTGATTTGACCCTCTGGTGTCCTCACTGTAAACACATGAAAATGATTGTAGCAATTTGTAATTGTTAACTTTTAGTTTGCTTAAAAGGACAAAGTATCAATTTATTATCCTGTTTTTCAATCAATTCCACATAATGTAATCAAATTCTGTGTACGACAAGGAATATGATGCTCCACTTAAACTTCCTACTTTAACAAGGAGTTAGATATCTCATCTTTTTCTCTCCATCTTGAAAGATTTAAAGTACTGAATGCAGAGCTCACTTCTTGCAAACGCTGCATTTACTTCTTGCAACACTTATCCTAACCTTATTTTGTAGATAACCATTCCCTTGCTATAAAACAATGTGCATCCTCTAGATCACAAAGAGCAAAACGGCTGTCCTGCCAGTAGAATTTTAAAATGCTTACACAAAGTATGCACTTAAAAGAAAACGTGAGTAGTCTGATTAATAAGTTTGCAGATACATGAAGGTTGATGGAGTTGCTGATAGTGCCGACGATTGTGAAAGGATGCAAGAGGATATAGATAGATTGGCGACTTGGGCACAGAAATGGCAGATGGAGTTTAATCCAGACAAATGTGAGGTGATGCATTTTGGAGGGTCAAATTTAGGTGTGAATCATATTGTAAATGGTGGAACCCTTAGGAACATTAACATACAGATGGATCTGGGAGTGCAGGTCCACAGTTCCCTAGAAGTGGCAACTCAGGTGGCCAAAGTGATTAAGAAGGCATATGGCATGCTTGCCTTCATCGGCCAGGGCATGGAATATAAGAGTTGGCAAACCATGTTGCAGCTATATAAAACCCTTGTTAGGCCGCATTTGGAGTATTGTGTGCAGTTTTGGTCACTACATGACCAGAAGGATGTGGAAGCTTTGGAGAGGGTGCAGAGAAGGTTCACCAGGATGTGGCCCGGTGTCAAGGGCATTGGCTATGAGGAAAGGTTAAAAAGACTAGGATTGTTTTCACTGGAAAGACGGCGGCTGAGAGGAGACCTGATAGAGGTCTGAAAATTATGAAAGGCATAGACAGGGTGGATAGTCAGAGGCTTTTTCCCAGGGTTGAAGTTTCAATTACAAGGGGGCACAGATTCAGGGTGAGAGGGGGTAAATTTAAGGTGGATGTGCGAGGGAAGTTTTTAAACACAGAGTGGTAGAAGTCTGGAATGCACTACCAGAAGCGGGTGGTAGAAGCAAACACGTTGGTGACATTTAAGAGGCATCTGGATGGTTACATGAAGAGGGAGGGAATAGAGGGGTACAGACTGAGTAAGGGCAGAAGGTTTTTGTTTTAGTTTAGTCAGGGCATGATGGTCAGCACAGGCTTGAAGGGCCGAAAGGCCTGTTCCTGTGCTGTACTTTTCTTTTGTTCTTTTGTTTGTTCTTAATTCAGATTGAAGCTTCAGATTTCCTTCCAGTTACATTTCAGATGTCACAGTTTAGAACACCAGACTCTCTGGGAATAGTACTACAACAGATCTATTAGTCTAATTTGAAAAGCTAAGAGCAAAAATAAAGTACATGACCCTGAAAATCTCCTGTTGAAGGATTTCAATGTTTCTGATTAGTAGATTACTTCAGTAATCTCTCTCTTGCTCTTGGTCCCCCCACCTCCTGAGGTACCATACCTAAAAATGGCACTGAATTAGTGACCATGGACCCTCACGGTAAGCTACTGCTATCTTCTGAGTAGGCATATGCTCGAAAGACTTAGAAGGTCATACACAACCTAAATGGTCATGTTATGAATGCACCTTCCTTAGCTATCAAGTCTGCATTGGGACTTGAAACCAGATTTTTTGGCTCTGACGCAGGGATACTAAACACTGCACCCACTCATTGCTCAGCTCATTAAATTCTACAAATATTTCTTTACAAATGGTTTTCAATTGTTACACAGGAGAAGTAGCGGGTGGCATTTCATGCACCCCTGTGGCAAGTTTGGAAGTGGAGAGGCATTTCATCAGGCATCAGTTTATGGGATCCCTCCACTTTTGTGCAGTGTAAGCTACAAGCAGTGGCGGGTATGGATACCACTGCTGAGACAAAAGTAGGTATATTCTGGTGATATACGGGAAGTGTTTAAACATTGTTAAAACAAAGCATGAAGTTGATGTCTTTCTTCTTACACTGATCAGAACAATGGACACAATTGTATGCAGCATCTGAAAATGATACTGTATACAACGTATGTATTAAATGGTGTCCCTTTGTTCAAATTTTTTCTTGTGTCCTAGGTCTGATGAGTCGAAGAAGAAATGCATGAGTTTCAGGTGTCCTTTTAGCCATGTCAAGTTCTGTACTACCAAGCAATTATGAAATTTACCAAGTTCATTGCTCAACAGTTTTCAAATCAAGAACAGTGATAAATAGACTGCATAGTTCAAAAGCGGCAAATATTTTAACTTACAAATGATGGACATTCGTTTCCGGTCACTGTTGAAGTCTAAAATGGCAAGCACTTGATAGGTCCTTGTTATGTCAAGTTCACTTATTGTGATGGCATTTTGAGTACGTGAAAGAAAGACAAACCCAAAATTCCTGGCTGCAGTAACGAGGGCTCCTTCATCTGGAGAGGCTGCTTGATATACAATTTGTCCTGTCACAGATTTAAAAAGAAAATGTGGCGTAATTACAGTACAACTTTTGCAAATCCAAACTTCAAAGCCAATTCTCAATGATGCAGATCAAAGTAAGCTCAGGCTTGTCAAAACGGTCATCCTTGCTTCAGTCACTTTCAGAAAGCTAATCAAAAGCAAAATAGATCCCCATGCCAATTTGTTTCCTTATAATGGAGACATATGCTTTTGCAAGGTTTTTTTTAATTAATCTCACCATTCTAACAGATTAGAACAACTGAACATTTCGGAAAGTATTGCTGCAAAAAAAAAACATTTCATTAAAGCTTTTCATCTTGTACTCGTTAGGATAGTTCACAAGAAACACCAATTTAAAAGCAAAACAACATTCATACAGTATGTGAGGAGTGTTGATTGGTTGGCAAGTTGACACTGATTGGTTGAGGCATCGTTATGGAAAATACATCAGTGAGTGAGGACTGACAATTAACTGCTAAGTATTGTTCAAACTTTTCACCAGTCAGATTGACCATGATAGGTTAAAACACTGCCTAGGAAGGTGCACAGTTCAAGGGAAATTACAGATGAGTAACAAATGCTGGCCTTGCCTGCAGCACTCACAACTTGTGAATGTATAAAGAAAATAAGAAATGAACCAGAGAATGGCTACGACTTACTCTGTCAAGTCAAAACAGGGGAAGTGTTGATCAACTAAATGGGTTCCTCGGCCATTTCAGAGGGTGATTAAAAAAAAGTCAATTTTATTTCTGTGGGGCTGAATTCACCCACAGTCCAGACCAGGTAAGGATGGCAGTTTTTCTCCCCTAAATGATATTGGTGAGCCAGATAGGTTATTACAACAATGGTTTCATAGCCATCATTAGATTTTTAATTCCAGAATTTTACTGGGTTCAAATGCCACCATGATTCGAACCCATGTCCCCAAAACATTATCTGGGTCTCTGGATAACTTGTTCAATGACAATCCCAATAGGCTATTGCTGACAAAGCTTGGACCACAGCTTCACAAACAGCATGTAGGGCAATCGGCAGCAGTTTCATAATAAGAAGAGTGGACCTGCATGAGAAGGGCAGCAGCAGTGGTAGCAGATAATAACCAACACACGAGAGAGCGCCCTCAACTGGTTTCTCCTATCAGAGCTGAAGTGCAATGGCACAGGGAAATAGGGAGGCAACTGGTGGGGCATTCCTTCCATACTCCTTTGATTGGCTAAGTGGTTTAAATTAGGAGAAGTTGTTACATTGAAGAGTGCAGTTAAGAATGGAAACACAGAACGCTTGGGAAACTCAGCAGATCTGGCAGCATCTGTAGAGAGAGAAACAATTATAATGTTTTGTATCCAGTATGACTCACCTTCAAAAGTGGTTGAAATGTCAACTTTCCTCCTCCTATGATGCTACCTGACCTACTGTTTTCCTCCATATAAATGCAGTATGTATAAGAACAGGTCAGAGGCTAGGAATACTGCAGTGATTTACCTCACCTCCCGACACCCAAATCCTGTCCGTCATCTACAAGGTACAAGTCAGGAGTGTGATGGAAGAGTTCCCACTTACCTGGATGAGGGCAACTCCAACAGCACTCAAGAAGCTTGATAACATGGCAACACCACCACCTGCAAGTTCCCCTCCAAGCCACTCACCATCCTGACTTGAAAATATATCACCTTTCCATCAGTATCACTGGGTCAAAATCCTGGAATTTCCTCCCCAGTGTCATCGTGGGTCTACCTACTGCATGTGGGCTGCAACGGTTCAAGCAGGCAGCTCACCACCACCTTCTCAAGGGCAAATAGGGATGAGCAATAAATGCTGGCCACTCAGCAATATCCATGTACCATGAGTTCAAAAAAAACACTAAATCTTAAATTATCCTGTGTATTTCTTAGTGTTGGTAACAAACTAACCTTCATAAGACTGTTTAAAATGGCAAATGTCACTTTACTTACCACTATTATCTTCCACCATCACAGTATGACAGAGTGCAAGAATTTTAAAAAATTCCCGTGTTGCAGGATCTTTTCCTGAGCGAATAAGTTGAGGTAGGTAATGGTCATAAAATTTGAGGTTCCCATCAGCATAGCTGTTCCAGCTGAAGTCAACAAGCTACAAAACACAAGTTATTTGTCAGGTGAATGTAGCAATGAAAAAAAAAACTCTGTATACAACATTTTTGGTCAGTGCAATCTTTAACTAGTGAAAGTTACAGTTCATCAGGGTTGCACGTTGGACAAACTGTCCGACAAGACAAAAAAAAACTGATAAAGAGGCCGAAAGAAACAGAGGAAAAATAGAACTTGGGTATTATGCATTCATATTAAAGAAACATTAAAGGATAAATGTAACACAGCCAGGCTATTTGGCCCATTCCACACATAAATAATACCATCCTAACCATTTTGTTTGCCTAAAACTCTTGTCCAACTTCTCCTTAAAACATGTCAATATTATTCATTTCAACCACGCCCTGTGGTGGTGAGTTCCTTATTCTCACCAGTCTTTGAGTAGAGACATTTCTTCTGGATATCTTTTTGAATTTCTTGGTGACTATCTTGATTGGAAGTCTTAAGTTATGCTCTTCTCAATAAAACGAAATATGCTTTCTGTATCCGCTTGATCTAATTGTTTCATAATTTTACAGACCATTAAAATGATCCCTCAGCCACCTTTCTTCAAGAGATTGGTACCATAGCCTCTACTGACAACATAAATTATGAAGAACAGTGGTGCCAGTACTGACTTGTGGTCCACCACTTCCCACCTTCTGCTTGTATGAATAACTTTTCCTTACTCCCACTCCTTGCATTCTGTCAACTCTGCCAGTTGTCGTGACTCCACATTCTTTGACCTTGTACATGAGTCTATTATGAGGCACATTATGAAAAGCCTTTGGGAAATTCAGGTGAAGCCCATCTACCCACATTGTCATGCTGTATTTGGTGTTTTTTCCTGAAAATATTCATGAAGGTTACCCAAGAAAAAGGTTTCCCTTTTGATATCAATGTTGATTATGTTAATATTTTTCATGTCTGCCAATACCCTTATTATTGACAAACAGAAAAATCTGCTTCTCAAAGGAAAACAGATCATTTTATCCCACTCCAGTAACTCTCTGAATAATCACCTCTTTGTTCTAGCTACAAATAACCACCAGAAGAAAACATGCATTAAACAAAGCATGAAAATGGAAATGTGACTGAGGTCTGAAAGATAGCCAAGTGATTGCAATATCTGAACCAGTTCAGTATAAACTGTATGAACCCATTTACATTAAAGAAAACAAGAAATGCAAGTTAATTCAGTTCTTAAATGCCATAGGATATTCAGGTTTTCTTTTTAAGTTGCTCTCTTTTGAACTCAGTTCATGTTAATATTGGTCAGTTAATAGGGCCCATTGTCAGGTTTACCACTCAGACTGTTCATGTAACATTCTTTCAGGCCAGTTCTTACGTAGAGTCTCAAGACCTGATGGAGCCACTTTAGAGCAACTATCCCAACTTCCCTGAACATAAGATATAGGAGCAGAAGTAGGCTATTCAGCCCATCAAACCCAAACTGCAATTCAATGAGGTCATGGCTGATCTGATAATCCTCAATTCCATTTACCTGCCTTTTACCCATAGCACTTGATTCCATTGCCAATTAAAAATTTGTCTATCTCAGCCTTGATTACACTTATCAATCCAGCTCCTATAGCCCTTTGTGCTAAGGAATTCCACAGATTCACTACCCTCAGAGAAGAAATTCCTCCACTGTCTTAAACATACAATCCCTTACACTGAAATTCTGCCCTCTGGGCATGGACTCTCCCACAAGGGAGAAACGACGTCTCAGCTGACCCGTGCTAAATTGCCCACAGTGCCCAGGGATAAACAGGCAAGGTGGATTATGGGAAGTGCAGGATCATAGGGTTAGCGTAATGGGTGGGATGCTCTTCAGAGGGTCGGTGTGGACTCGATGGGCTGAATGGCCTGTTTCCACATTATAGGAATTCTTTGATTGTTCCTGCCACTTATTTTCTTACACTTGGACCTTGTGCACATTCTATTCTTCCAAAAGTTCTTGTCTGTCAAACCAGATTACAACAAAAACTGGGGCCATAGCAATATCATGGTCTCCACTGGGATCGTAACACCAACGATTCTTCTGCTCTTGGGCTCTCCTGCTGACCTCCTCTTGTTGATGCATGCTCCCAGTGCCTCTCCAGCATTCTCTCTACAACTGCAAGTGGCTCTTCCTGTCTCAGGCCCACTTTATGAGCCTTGTGAACAACAAAGCCTCAGGAGAGTGAAGCAGTGTATGGGAGTGTCAGTGAATCATAGAGTCAGCAAGCCCAAAGAAAGTGGAAAATGCAGTTTTTCATTTATCAAATTTGAAAGTTATTTCATTTATAAATATCGTAATTTAGTAATATTAAATAATTCAACTTTCAACAGAGGAAACCGTATTCTATTTGTTTGATTTAGAGATGAAGGAATTTAATGATTAGTCTTTATTGCTTTTTAATGCTGAAAGAAAAAAAAACACATTTTCTCCAAGGTTTTCATTTTGCACTCAGAATATTTTGCAAGAATACGAATTCAAGAGGAAAGCCAGTAGTTTTACAGCATGACAGCAGAGCGCTGATTGGTTGTCAAGCAGACACTGATTGGTGGAAACATTGCCATGGTGAATGCACCATTAATGCTGATTGATAGTTAACAGTTGGCATTGCCCTGAGAAATTAACCAGCAAACTCTTTTGTTGAGTTTAAACAGGTTCAGTGTGTATATAGGTGCTTTCTGTCTGCAAAAATCAGGGCCTGTGTACCTATATTAGCTTCCAGTACATACAAGGTGAGCCTGACTGATGCTGCTAAAGCGATTGTTAGTGTAATTCCTCTCTGTCCCAGTCTTTCAGAGTCATTCTTGAATGAATCTATCCTAAAATGCATTGCACTTTTTAAGCAGAGTGAAGATGATTGGGCTGCTCTCAACTTGGGGTCTTTTTCAAGTTGGAAATTCAAGTACATGCTATTTGAGAGTTTCTGAAAAAGAGACACACTATCAAAATATTGTCCTCTTGTCCTCATCAGGATATTTACTTATTAAATAGATTTACTTACAAATATTTATAGTAAAGTTATTAACCTAATGAAAATAGCTTTAATGCTGCAGAAAGAAAGCGACAGAAATATCTCACCAAGTTCATCAATTGTTAAAGGTTTCAGCAACACATTTTGGGTGTGGCATTACTGCTGTTCTGTAAATATCCTGTGCAATGGATATCATCACAAAAACTGAGAACCAGTTTCAATGAAGAATACAAAGTATGCTTCAAGTGTTTGCAGCATGATTTCAGCAATTTCACCTTCGAGTGATTTATTTATCAACATTATGAAACAATTAGTTTTACCTCTACTCGGTCTGTCCTGTCTCCCGCAGCATTACACAACTCACCTGAAGAAGAAACAGAAAATAATATTTAGGACCACTTTGAACCTGAAAGTCAGTGGCAGTCTGCACAATGTTATTGGTTACTGGCTCTGATTCTGCCAGAATCAGAGTGGTTCAGTTTGCATCAACCAGTGGAATTTAAAATCATTTAACAAACAGACATTCAGTTAGAAACATAGACTCAGAGTATTACAGCATGGAAACAGGCCCCCCGGCCCAAACTGGTCCATGCTGCCCACTCAGCTAGTTCCAATTGCCTGCATTTGATCCATAGCGTTCTGAACCCTTCTCATCCATGTATCTATCCAAATGATTTTTAAATATTGCTATTGTACCTGCCTCAACCACTTTCTCTGGCAACCCATTCCAAATGCTCACCATTCTCTGCATGAAGAAGTTGCCCCTCAGGTGCTTCTTAAATCTTTCCCCACTCACCTTAAACCTATGCCCTCTAGTTTTCAATTCCTCATCCCTGGGAAAAAGACTATATGCATTCATCCTGTCTATGCCCCTCATGACTTTATACACCTCAATAAAGGTCACACCCCCATTCTCCTACATTCTAAGGAATAAAGTCCTGTCTTGGCCAACCTCTCCCTATAACTCAGGCCTACTAGTCCTGGCAAAATCCTTGCACACTTTCCAGTTTAACTATGTCTTTCCTATAACAGGGTGACCAAAACTGTATACAATACTCCAAGTGCGGCCTCACCAATGACTTATACAACTGTAACATAACATTCTAACTCAATGCCTTGACCAATGAAGGCCAGCATGCCAAATGCCTTCTTCACCATCCTGTCTACTTGTCATGCCGCTTTCAACAAACTATGTACTTGTACTTCTAGGTCCCCTTCTTCCACAACACTCCTCAGGACTTTACCTTCTACTGTATGAGTCCTACCTTGATTTGACTTTCCAAAGTGTAACGCCTCACACTTATCTGTACTGAATTGCATTTGCCAATCCTCAGCCCACTTCCCCATCTGATCAAGATCCTCTGTAATTTTTGATAACCTTCCTCACTATCAACGATACCTCCTAATAAATTGTATCATCTGCAAACTTACTAATCATGCCTTGCACATTCACATCCAGATTATTTATGTAAATGACAAATAACAAAGGTCCCAGCACCGACCCCTGTGGCACACCACTAGTCACAGGCCTCCAGTCTGTGAAACAACCTTCAAACGTCACCCTCTGCTTCCCACCATTGAGCCAATTTTGAATTCAATTAGCTAGCTCTCCCTCGATCCCATGCAAACCAACATTCATGACTAGCTTGCCATGCAGAACCTTGTCAAAGGCCTTACTAAAGTCCATATAGATGACATCCACTGTTCTAGCCTCATCCATCCTCTTGATTACCTCTTTGAAAAACTCAAAGATTTGTCAAACATGGCTTTTTGTGCACAAATCCATGCTGACTATCTCTAATCATACCTTGACTATCCAAATGTTGGTTGATCCTGTCCCTCAGTATCCGCTCCAATAACTTGCCTACCATTGGTGTCAGGTTCACTGGCCTGTAGTTCCATGGCTTGTCTTTGCTACCTTTCTTAAACTATGCAACAACATTAGTTACCTTTCAGTCTTCAGAACTACATCAGTGGCTAAAGCTGAAGCAAAAATCTTTGCAAGGGCCTCTGCAATTTCTTCCCTAGCCTCCCACAATGTCTGAGGATGGACTTGATCAGGTCCAGGGGATTTATCCAACCTAATGAGCTTTAAGGCTGCAAACACCTCCTCTCTGATAATGTGAATGTGGTCCAAAACATCCCCACTTATTTCTCTTATTTCCTTAGTATCCATGATTCTCTCCTCAGTAAACACAGAGGCAAAATATTCATTAAAAATCTCCCCTGTCTCCTGTGGCTCCACAAAAAGGTGGCCATGCTGATGAATAAACCTGAAATTGAAAACTTGTCACAGCTCAGTGGCCATGAAACCATTGCTGATTGCTGTGAAAAACCATAAGGTTCTGGAATATCTTTTACAGAAAAAAAATTGCCAATCTTAGCTAGTCTGGCCCAAGTGTGACTTCAGATCTGTAGCTGTGTGGGTTTTTCCATCTGAAGTGGTCGTGCAAGCCAATCCACTTTACCAAAATACAGCAGATTTCAATCAAATAGCGCTTCAAAACATGGCTCATCAACTTCTCAAGGACAATCAGGGACAGGCAATAAATGTTGGTTTTGTCTGTATTGCCATGTCTTATAAAGGATTTTAAAAAAAACACAGGAAGGTTGCAATTGACAGAAATGCTGCCAGGTTGGGAAAGAGTTGGGAAGGGATTTGTGTGGAGTATGAACATTGACAAATATCATACTTGAATCAGACTAGCCATATAAATACCGGTGTCACCAGAAACAGGTCAGAGGCTAGGATGCCTGCAGCAAGTAACCCACCTCCTGACTCCCCATAGCATGTCCACCACGTACAAGACACAAGTCAGGAAGGTGATGGAATACTCCCCACTTGCAATGAGTGCAACTTCAACACTACTCAAGAAGCTTGAAACCATTCAGGACAAAGCAGACCACATGATTGGCACAACATCCAAAAACATTTACCCCCGCTACTGCCAATGCGCAGCAGCATGTACTGTCTACATGGCACTTAAGCAAGAATGTATAACACCTATAAGATGCACGGCAGAAAGTCACCAAAGATTCTTAGACAGCACCTTTGAAACTCATAACCATGACAATCCAGAAAGACAAGGAAAGCAGATACATGGGAACACTGTCACCTTCAAGTTCCCTGACAAGCCACCCATCATCCTGGCTTGGAATTGTGTCACTGACTCAGTGGTGCCGAAGGAACAAAGTCCTTGAATGTACTCCTCAAGGGCATCATGGGCTTACCTACACCAAACGGGCTACAGTCGTTCAAGAAGGCTTCTCACTACTACCTTCTCAAGGGCAACTCAAGCTAGGCAACAAATGCTTGCCCAGTCAGCAATGTCTACTTCCCACAAATTAATTTAATAAAATTACTTACTTACATGTTACAGATATATGCAAAGCCTAAGTCGTTAGTCTGTCATTTGAGTTATTTTTTCCTTCACTCATCAGCAATGAGTCAACTAGGCAGTGAACAAGTTATAGCGGTAGGACGAAGGCTGCAGACAGCCAAGTTTTCAGAGCCCAATATGCATCGAGCTCAAATCTAAGCTTATGTTCGCCTCTGTTGCAAGGAGTCAAGGGATAGGACTGATCTCAGTGCAGAGTGGTTTCAAGACATCACTGAGGGTAATTTTCACCTTCCTTTCATGGATGGCAAATTGACAGAGCAGATTTCTGTTAAGAAATGAATTCAAGGAAGTGGAGTGACTTCATGCATATAACAACACTAAAAATATGTTATGTCCATCTCCAGTAGCTATTCTGCAATATAAATGTAATATTTGCCCAAGAAATGTTCAACATTTTAAACAAAATTATGGGCAATGCTGACAACTCCAGCATTTATTGTCAACGTATAAGTTAATAGTAGGGTTATGCCGTTTTGGTCTGTCATGCCTGCTCTGCCATCCACTGCTACTTGCTCTTGAGAAGATGACACAGTAACTGTTCTTGAACCACTGCAGTTAATGTGGTGTGGGTAAATATGATGTGTTTTTCATGTGGGGAGCTCCAGGATTTTGACGCTCTGATGAAGAAACAATAACACATTTCCAAATCAGGATGCTTTGTGAATTAGGGCGATACTTGTCGGTGGCAATGTTCCCATACATCTGCTGCTCTTCTAGATAGTAGAAATTGTGTTTACAAAGTGCAGTCAGACAATCCCTGGTATATTTAGGCAAATTCAAGATGAACAGGTTATGATATAGTTTTTCAACATAAGGAAGCAAACATACCATATGTAGTGCCACCGATGCTACACTTCTTAAATGCCATGATATTCTGTGTAAGAGTTCCTGTCTTGTCAGAGAAGATGTACTCTATCTGTCCAAGCTGCTCAGTCAGTGTTGTTGTGCGTGCTTTGGCTGGAGTGTCCTTTTCAGCATAATACATTTGGAGATCCCAGTTAATGAAGTAGCTTTGACCCATGCGAATCACTTCAACACTAAAGGGAGAGATTACAAAGACTGTTATGATAATTAAAACGAAGAACTGCAGATACTGGAGATATATAATGGAAACAAAAATTGCTGGAGAAACTCGGCAGGTCTGGCAGCATCTGTGGGGAGAAACTGCTTTCTACCAAACCTGCTAAGTTTCTCCAACACCAAAACAGAAGTTGCTGGGAAAGCTCAGGTCTGGCAGCATCTATGAAGCGAAATCAGAGTTAACGTTTCGGGTCCAGCGACCCTTCCTGAAAACTCAGGTTCTGAGCTATCCCAGCAACTTCTGTTTTTGTTTCTGATTTGCAGCATCCACAGTTCTTTCAGATTGTATTAAGTTTCTCCAACAAGTTCGGTTTTTGTTTCTGTTGTGGTAATTGTCTCTTTATGCAATCATCAAGAGCGCAAGAAAGAGGTCAAGCCTATTATTGCTTCAAATGCAATAAATTCAACACGGTAACATGCAAGAAGTTTGACTTCTTTTCTCCTGAATACACTGATTTATTATAGAAGGTTGTCAGCAGAAGGGAAGATATGTTTCTAACCTAGAGATCTGCAGAGTTAGGAATGACAGCAAAGGAGGAGACATGGAGGAATTTGAACTCCATTTGCAGATCATTCATCCAAGCCTTTGTATTAAAAAGCCAATAATACAGACATTACCCTCCCAATCCTAATTTTGTAGTACCAGGGAAGATAGGTGTTCTGTGAACCAATGTCCTGTCCTCAAAAAAGACCCTTTTCTTCTAGCTGCCTGCCACTTCAACACGCAACTGTGTTCCCTGACCAACATCTGTGTCTCAGGCTTGCTGCAGTGCCCCAATGCAGCTTAGTGCAAGTTGGAAGAACAGCACCTGATTTTGCACTTGGGAACGCAGCAGCCTACAGGACTCAATGTTGAGTTTAACAATGTTAGGGCTTGAGGCACCTTCTCCCATGTCCTTAGCCCACACTCCAGGTCTTTTTATCACAAGTCTGCTATTACACACTCATTTTTAGCCACTAATAGTCCCCATTAGTAGCTATTCATTTTCCCAGACTAATCGTTATCTACTCCTTTGCCTGCCCAACTGCGCTTTTCTCTCCTTGGGCTCTATCTTCATCTGTCGTTTACTCCTTATTCCCCTCTCCCCATCCTATCTTCTGCATTTAAAAAAAGAACAACGTTTTCCTATCTACCATCAGTTCTGAGGGAAGGGTCACTGGACTCGAAATGTTAACTCTGATTTCTCTCCACAGATACTGCCAGACTTGTTGAGCTATTCCAGCAATTTCCACTTTTGTTTCTGATCTCCAACATCCACAGTTCTTTTGGTTTTTAATAAGAAGAATATGCCCACTGTAATGGTCAAGTAAGCCACTTAATTAAACCCAATTACGAATAAGCAATAAATACTGGTTTTGTCATTCCTTTCAAGAATTTAACAACGAAGTTCAGGCACTCAATTTGGTGTATTATCGGGATGTATTACTTTCATGGAGCCACACAAAACAAGAGAACAGAATGAGGTATATTTACCTTACATAAAGTGATATGGGGACTAGAGTGTTCATAACAATGATATAACCCCAGAAGGCAATGAAACCTCTGTAGGAAGGTGGATCATCTTCGCCATCATAAAGGTACCAGGATCGGGTGGCATTGCCAATTTCACTTTCCCAGAATGTGTGCCCAATAGCAAGACCAGCTGACAGAAGAATGAGGAACAGAAAGATCTGGAAAGAAGTACAATTGCACAAATGGATCACTCATTACATTGAAAAAAACCTAAAAATACAATTATGTAACTGTACTGCAGGTCATGGTTTTCTTTTACCAGATAAACTATGTAATTCATGAGTTGGTCAATTTTGGTTCTTTTGAAGTTTGTTTTTCCACCATTCCTCATGATTTTGGTGTCAGCACCTGTAAAACAGATTAATTGTAAATTGTAAATTGTAATTGTTAGGAGTCAATATCCTAATGGCATATTCTATCAAAGCAACTTTACCATCTGAAATGCTGTAAAGGTACTATACAGAATTAAAGATCAGATAAAATAATCAGCGCTTTCCTTGTGTATTAGAGCACACGGAGGGAATAGGTTAAAGCAGTTATTCTATGTCACACACAACTGCATTTTTAAGACATTAAAACTTTCCAATATGATTTTAGGTGCATTGCCAAATAATCAGGTATTTTTGAAATGTTTTATTCAACTTTCCCAGAATATCACCGAATATCATTGCAAGACTTTAAGACTTAGGAACAGAAGAGTAGGCCATTCAGCCCATCAAGTGTGCTCTGTCATTCAATAAGATCATGAATGATTTGATGATCCTCAACTCATTGCGACAGTTTTAAAAATCCAGACCTGTTGTGAACAAGTTGAGTAATCTCAATTCTCATTCAATTCCAAGATTCTCAAATCATTATACGGGCTGTAATGAGACAGGATGTGATGAAATAAAATTCGTTAAATACCTGCAAATATGACAATTCCATGCGTAATCTCTGTATTGCGGACAGTGCAGCCACGCAGCAGGATTGTGTTCACATCAAGAGGATAACTCTGGTTTCTCCAGAACAAGGTCCCGGTAAATTTGTCCAGCCGATTGTTTGGCTCTTCACATTCTACTAAACCTGATGAAACACATTTGCTTTAGTTCAGTGAAGGACTAAAAATCATCGAGAAAGATTTTTTAAAAGAGTTACTCCTTTTATACAGCAATATTAAAAAAAAAAATTCACATGAAAGCACAGCTGCTCAGGAGGAGTACTTTTGTTTCATATAGAGAAGGTAAGTAGTGATCAACAGGGTTAAAAAAACTTGGCACATCTGAATGGGTGAGCTGAGAGCTCAACTTCTGCCAAAGTGAAAGAGAAGCACATTATTAACATCATGCGGCATTATTTCCCGAACTTATGCTGATCTCCAAAGGCTGTCTGAAAAATCCATCCTGTGAGATACAACAAGACATGGTTTCATACACATTAACACAGATATTGCAGTAAGGTTCAGGGTGAAACTCTCAGCGTTCAGTTACTACAAGTTAAATTTGACAGTAGACTTACCACAGACTTACCATTAATCAGAAAAATTTGGAGCTGCTGTTAAAGTTGCTTTGCTATTGCATAAACCACACTCAATGCTTCACCAATAGAATAATACAAAATACAGATTTAAAGTTATGTGGGATTGTTGGCAAGATCACCATTTGCTGCCCATCGCTAATTGTCCTAAAGGAAGAGATAGCAAGTCACCTTCTTGAACTGCTACAGTGCATTTGCTGTAAGTACACCCACAGTAATGTTGAGAAGTGAGTTCAGCAAAAAGAACTGTGATATCGTACCAAGTTAGAACCGTGTGTGGCTTAGAGGGGAATTTAAAAGTGGAGCAGGGCGTTCCACATATCTGCTGTCTTTGAAGTGATTCAGATCATAAGTTAGGAAGGTGCGGTTGAAGAAACATTGAGAGTTGTTGTTGTAGATGATACACCCTACTGCCGCCTTGACTTGGTCATGGAGGGAGTGCAAATTAAAGGTTGCGAATGGAGTGCCAATCAAGTGGACTGCTGTGTCTTGGACATGTTGAGTTTCTCAAGTTCTCCATTCCATCACACTAAAGACATGTGGAGCTCACTCGAGTTACTAGCCTCAGAACTCCAAATCTGTTTTGCTTTCAGTTTTTGGTCAACAGGAACATCCAGAATGTTGATAGACAAGGATTTAGTAATAGTAATTTTGCAGCAATAGTGACTCCTGCCAAATTGTTGAGGTCAAGGTGACCTTTTCTCCCCCCAAAAACGTTAGCTCATGATGTGGCATTGTTGGCTAAGCTTGCATTTATCTATCATCCCCAAATTTCCCTCTAGTAGGTGGTGGCGAGCCCTCTTCTTGAACTGCTGCAATCCATGGAGAGTTAGGTGCACTCGGTGCTGTCAGGAAAGGTGTCTGACAAAATTGGGTTCACCACTGTATTTTCTAGTGCCTAGATTTATGCCAGCGGTCCATCCAGTTTAATGCCTTTTAGATTTCGTAGCTGCCTGATAGAACTGACTGGTTTTCTGGGCCATTTCTTTGTCCCTTACTTCTTTCTTTCTCTCACTTACTGCACATGAATTAAATATTCTAACCAATGTTTCCTGGTTGAATTTCTGCATATCAAAATTTATTGTTGCTTGTCTTTCCACTGCCCTAAATTAGATCTGAAGTAGTGACACATTCTAAATGAAAAGCCTGGGGGAAGGCAAAGTCATAATGGCAAGGTCATTGGGCTAGTAATTCAGAGGACCAGGCTAATGTTTTGGGGTCACTAGTTCGAATCTCTCCACGGCAAAAGGTGAATTTTGAATTCTGGAAGATTCTGGAATTAAAAGGCTATCCTCTTGGTGACCACGTAACCATGGTTGATTATTGTAAAAACCCTACCTGTTTCATTAATTAACCTTAATGAGGAAATCTGCCATCCCTACCTGGTCTGATCTACAGGTGACTCCAGACTCTCAACAGTGTGGTTGTTTTAACTGCCCTCTGGGCAATTAGGGGTGAGTGATAAATACTGGCTTCTATTCACCAATGCCTACGTCCAATGACCAAATATTTTTTAAAAAGGCATAAGACATGGCAAGTGCTGTCCCTTTATTCTTGCCTGTAAATCTGGGCATTGATAACAAATGCATTTCTTGACAGGAACCCAACATCCTGGGAGTTATCATTGACCAGAAATTGAACTGGACTAGCCATATAAATACAGTGGCTACAAGGGGCCAAAGGATCTGTTCTTGTGCTGTGCAGTTGTAAAGAGCAGGTCAGAGGCTAGGAATACTGCAGCAAGTAACTCACCTTCTGACTCCTCAAAGTGCGTCCACCATCCACAAGGCACAAGTCAGGAGTGCGATGGAATACTCCCCACTTGCCTGGATAGTGCAGCTCCAACAACACTCAAGAAGCTTGACACCTTCCAGGACAATGCAGCCTACTTAATTGGCACCACACCCACAAACATCGATACGCTCCTCACTGACACTTAATAATAGCAGTGTTTTCCATCTCAAAGTGCACTGCAGAAATTCAATCAGCACTTTCCAAACCCATGACCACTTCCATCTAGAAGGACATGGGCAGCGGATACACGAGAATAACATCTCCTGCAAGTTCCCCTCTAAACCACTCACCATCCTGACTTGGAAATATAATCATCGTCCCTTTAGTGTTGCTGGGTTAAAATCCTGGAATTCTCTCCCAAATGGCATTGTGGGTCTACTTATAGTTTGTGGGCTGCAGCAGTTCACCATCACCTTCACAAGGGCGAATCTGGAAGGGCAATAAATTCTGATCCAGCCAGTGACTGGCATGTCCCATTTTAATTATACCACATAAGCGCAGAAGAGAACCCACACACTTAAAAGCTACAGATGGCAGCAATGCACACAAAAACTTACCATCAAAAGATTCCAGATCCTTTTCTTTCTTCAGCAGTTTGTCTGTAACTTCTAATGACATTTTAAACTTCAGGTTAGTTTCTCTGAAAACAGAAATAATTCAGCGATGTGTTAATTTTCTATTTTGCAAAAGTTGTTGTTCATATTTTCTTGACATCCATTGCTAGAACATGGCCAAATTTCCAGGCTCGCACATGAATTCTTCAGCTAATACAGACAAGACAACTCTTACACCATTTTTCAAAGGTAATAAGCATATTTTAAATAATTGAATACAAAACAATGCTACATTGGCTAACTAAGAACGTCTACATTTCTTACATAAGTAAACGCAACTCATTAGTCTGTGGCCTGAGTAATATTTATGTTATAAAAAAAGTAAACACAGATTAACTGTTGTATTTGCTAAAAAGCAGATGCATTCTTGAATTCTTCTAAGAACATTGAAAAACGTATTCAGCGTATACAGAGTGACTACCTTAACTGTCAGTTTAAGAGAAATCAGCAAGATTTCAGGTCACATTCAAAATCAGGAAAGCCCCTCATCTCCTGCTCAGAAATGCCATGAGTAAAGATAAAAGACAAAAGCTCATGTAAAGCAGCTTCAAAATGAAGATACAGGCTCGACAAATTTGCTCTGATCAGTCTGAAGAGAGAGAAAAATGAAGCTCAAAATAACTACAGTACTTGATAGAATATAGCTAAAATTGCAACAAAATTTGATGTGATCTCTAACAGCCGAAAGCATTCATCTCTGCATGGTAATCCAGCTTGCAGAAACACAAGTGAAAAACAACACAGAAGGCACAGAAACGTTCCTTTTCCTTGCCAGTCTAAGCTAGCTGTCAAGAAATGATTAGCCAGCATTGGGTGCATGTCTAAAACATACAGACCCTCTGTGCACAGGTGGAATAGCTGACAATTTGTGTGTGAAGTGCTTTAAGTCTTTGAATGCAGAAATACACAAATTCAAGGCATTCACTTAATCAAGCGGCCATCTGGGGCTACTTAGAAAAAACATTGCCAAAGCTCATGGAAATAATGTCAGTTTGTGTGAAATAAAAGCCTTGTCTATTTGTTCCGGTGATTCAAACAGAATGTGATAAATCCCATGGCACTAATGCAAGGGAATCTGGGAACTGTTCTGGAATGTTGATTACCAGTTCTTACTCAACCACTATCACTACAAACAGATTACCCAATCATTTCATCTTATTGCTCGTTTTGGTCTTGTTTTTGAAAATAGTTACCATAACTATCACTGCACTTGATGTATTGCATGCAAAAAGACATTTCAGAAAGAACTGTATTAAGAACTGCATTAGAACTGTATTTTTTCAAAAAAAATCTGAAATTACTGTAGAACCTCAGTCCAGAAAAACTACTTATGGTTGTATGATCGATACAGCAATTATTACGGGAAAAAAAGGCAGTTGAAAAGCGAAATCAGTACACCAAGTCACTTCCAAAGGTCAAAAGTGGATGATTATGGCACGTATGAAGCAATATTCTGAGCAAACCACACAGTAGTTTCATCATGCCTGAACTGTATTACAGTGCGTGCTGTGAAAGAAGGTACCTTTTATTTTCAAAGAATATTGTCTACTTCTGAATTAAAAGCACATTGTACATTCAAGTTCTTACCCATCAAGTTCAGCTGTTTCCACGTAACAAAGACTGTTGGGCTCTGAACTGGACAACAGTAGTATATCAGCCTAAATAATTACAAAGAATGTATACATGTCATACAAAACAAGGTAAGAAATGTTAACGTTTGTTGCAAACCAAAAAGATGAAACTTACTGGAATAAAATCATCTTTGTGTAGGCATACAACATCTCCAACTTCTATGTCCTTCCACTTTGTTGTTTTAAACCTAAAAATGGTGAAAGTATTATGAGAATCAAACAATACACAAGGGGCCTTTTGGCCCAATGAGTCTGCACCAACAAGAAATAAAACCCTTATCTAAATGGATCCCACTTTCTAGCACTAGGCTGATAGCCTTCAATGTTATGACATTTCAAGTGTTCATCCACATACATTTTAAAAGATTGTGAGTTTCCTGCCTCTACTACGTCCCAGGCAGTGGCTTCCCTCAAATCCCCTCCAAACCTCCTGCCCTTCACCTTAAAATTATGACTCCTTCTTAATGACCCTACTACTAAGAGAAACGACTACTTTCTATCCAACCTGTATGCCCCTTATAGTCTTATACACCTCTAATAGGGAGCTCTTGTGGTGGAGAGGTAGTGTTCCTACCTCTGAAGCCGGAGACCTGGGTTCATGTGCCACTTGCCCAAGAAGCTTGTATTGCATTTCTGAATAGGTTAATTAGGAAATACCTACAATTCTATTAGGTCCACCCTTAGTATTCTCTGATCCAAAGAAAACAGCCTGAACCTGTCCAGCCCCTCTTCACAATTAAAATGCTCCAACCCAGGCATAAAGTGGTAAATCGCCTTTGCACCCCATCCAATGCAATCACATCCTTCCAATCAAGTGGCAACATTCTTACCTACCTTATTAACTAACCCTGCTGCCTCAGGGACCTGTAGCTAGCACCCCAAGAATCCTCCCTTCTTCTGAGCGTCCTGATGTCCCGTCATACATTGAATACTCCCTTGTCTCGTTATCTCTTCCAAAGTGCATCACCTCACACTTAAACAGAGTTAAATTCCATCTGTCACTGTTCTGCCCATTTAACCAATCTGTCTATACCTTCCTGTAATCTAAGACTTTCTCCCTGATTATTAACCAGCCTGCCAATCTTCTTGATATCCGCAAACTTACTGATCATTACCCCTCCACTATCCCAACACACACACACATCTTTATCATGTATAAATATCACAAACAATAAAAGGGAGCCAGCACTGATCCCTGCAGTACACCATTGGACACCTGCCTCCAGTCACACAAACAACGTGCAGGTTAGGTGGATTGGCCATGATAAATTGTCCATTGTGTCTAAGGATTTGTAGGTTAGGTGGTTTAGTCATGGGAAACGCAGGGTTGTAAATAGGGTAAAGGGTGGGTCTGGGTGGAATGCTCTTCAGAGGGCTGGTGTGGCCTCAGAGTCATAGAGTGATACAGCATGGAAACAGACCCTTTGACCAAAACTGGTCCTTGCTGCCTACTCAGTTTGTTTCAATTGCCCGCATTTGGTCCATGTCACTCTAAACCTATCTCATCCATGTACCTATCCAAATGTTTTTTCTGGATGTTGCTATTGTACCTGCCTCAACCACTTTCTCTGGCAGCCCATTCCATATATGCACCATTCTCTGCGTGAAGACGTTGCCCCTCAGGTCCTTCTTAAATCTTTCTCCTCTCACCTTAAACCTATGCCCTCTAGTTTTTAACTCCCCATCCCTGGGGAAAAAAAGACTACATGCAGTCATCCAATCTGTGCACCTCATGATTTTACACACCTCAGTAAGGTCACTCCCCCATTCTCCTACATTGGAAGGAATAAACTCCTATCCTGGTCAACCTCTCCCTATAACTCAGGCCCACTTGTCCTGGCAACATCCTTGTAAATCTTTCCAGTTTAACTACGCATTTCCTACAACAGGGTTACCAAAATTGTATACAATACTCCAAGTGTGGCCTCACCAATGACTTATACAACTGTAACATAACATCCCAACTCCTACACTCAATGCCGTAACCGACGAAGGCCAGCATGCTAAATGCCTTCTTCACCACCCTGTCCACTTGTGACACCACTTTCAATGAATTGTGTACTTGTACTCCTAGATCTCTCTGTTCTATGACACTCCTGGGTACTTTACCCTCAACTGTATAAGTCCTACCTTGGTTTGACTTTCCAAAGTGCAACGCCTCACACTTATCTGCATTGAATTGCATTTGCCAATCCTTAGCCCACTTCTCCATCTGATCAAGATCCCTCTGTAATTTTTGATAACCTTCCTTGCTATCAATGATACTTCCTAATTTTGTATCATCCGCAAATTTACTAATCATGCCTTGTACCTTCACATCCGGATCATTTATGTAAATAACAAATAACAAATAACAAGAGGTCCCAGCGCCGACCCCTATGGCACACCACTAATTACAGGCCTCCAGTCCATCACCCTCTGCTTCCTACCATCGAGCCAATTTTGAATCCAATTAGTGAGCTCTCCCTGGATCCCATACAACCTAGCTTCATGACTAGCCTGCCATGCAGGACCTTGTCAAAGGCCTTACTAAAGTCCATATCGACAACATCCACTGCCCTCCCTCATCTATCCTCTTGGTTACATCTTCGAAAAATTCTAAAAGATTTGTCGGACATTATTTCCTGCTTGCAAGTCCATGCTGACTATCCCTAATCAGACGTTGACCATCTAAATATTGGTTGATCCTGTCCCTCAGTATCCTCTCCAATAACTTGCCTACCACTGATGATAGGTTCACTGGCCTGCAGTTCCATGGCTTGTCTTAGCTACCTTTCTTAAACAATGGAACAACATTAGCCAACCTCCAGTCTTCTGGAACATTAGCCACTGGTAAGTGGCTAAAGCTGAAGCAAAAATCTCTGCAAGGGCCTCTGCAATTTCTTCCCTAGCCTCCCACAATGTCCAAGGATTGACTTGATCAGGCCTAGGGGATTTATCCATCTTAATGAGCTTTAAGGCTGCAAACACCTCCTCTCAGTTAATGTGAATGCAGTCAAAAACATCCCCACTTATTTCTCTTATTTCCGATGTACCCATGATTCTCTCCTCAGTAAACACGGAGGAGAAATATTCATTAAAAATCTCCCCCATCTCCTGTGGCTCCACACATAGACAGCCATGCTCATCTTTAAGGGGGCTTATTCTCTCCCAAGCCACCCTCTTACTCTTAATATAGCTATAGAATCTCTTGGCACTATCTTTAACCTTTTCTGCCAGTTCAATCTCATACCCTCTTTTTGCTCTTCTGATTTCCCTCTCATGTGCTCCTGCACTTTTTATAGTCACCTAGGGATTCACTTCAGCCCAATAGCTTATGCCTTCTTTTTCCTGACCAGAGCCTCAATATCAGCCAGCGACCCCTAAACCTGCTGGCTTTTGCCTTCACCCTAACAGGGACATACTGTCCTGGACTCTTGATATCACACTTTTAAAAGCCTCCCATTTGCCATCATTCCTTTTCCTGCAAAGAGACTCACCCAATCGATCTCTGCCAGATCCTGCCTAATGGTGCCAAAATTGGCCCTGCTCCAGTTCAGCACCTTGACCTGTGGACCTGTCCTATCTTTTTCTATAACAATGTTAAAACCGTGCATGTTATGGTCACTGAACCCAAAGTGCTCTCCGACTGACACTTCAGTCACTTGCCCGACCTTGTTGCATAAGAGGAGTTCCAGTGTTGCGCCCTCCAGAGTTGGGCCCTCTACATATTGATTTAGGAAACTTTCTTGGACACATTTGACAAATTCCACCCTGTCTGGGCCTTTTACACTCTGGGTTGCCCAGTCAATACAGGGGAAATTAAAATCTCCAACCAATACTACTCTGCTATTCCTACGGGTATCTGCAATCTCTCTACACATCTGCTGTAGTACTCGCTGACTATTTGAGAGTCTATAATACAGTCCCAACTGAGTAGCCATCCCCTTCTTGTTCCTAAGTTTTAACCATATAGCGTCATTTGATGACCCATTAAGAATATCCTCTCTAAGCACTATTGTTATGTCCTCCCTTATCAAAAGGGCAACTTCCCCGCTTGCTTACTTGTACTTCTGTTACACCTGTAGCTTCTGTATCCTGGAACATTGAGTTGCCAGTCCTGTCCTTCTCTCAGCCATGTTTCTCTTTTGGCTATAATATCTTAGTTCCCAGAGCCAGTCCATGCTCTGGCCTCATCTGCCTTACCAGTCAGGCCTCGTGCATTGAACTAAATACACTTTAAACCAAAAGTCTTTTCGCTCCCTTTACTGTGCCCCTGGCTATCCTGAATAGTAGACTTGCTCTCAGTGGACCGAATGACCTGCTTCCACATTGTTGGGATTCTGTGATTCTATGAAACAGCCATCTACCACCACCCTCTGCCTCCTACCAAGTCAATTTTGAATCCATCTTGTCAAGTTACCATGGATTCTTCTTTATCAGTCTCCCTTGTAGTACCTTGTCAAAGGCTTTACTGAAATCTATGTAATCTAATGAACTGCACTATCCTCATTGACACACTTGTCACTTCTTTGAGAAATTCCATCAAATTTAGCGTTCTTTCATTGTTGTCTAGTTATTTCTTGATGTATAAAATGTAGTTACAGTTCAAAGTTACTTCATAACGGAATATGGATTTGCTATTAAACTGCAAGCTCCATACACTTGTGTGAAATTTGTTCCAAGGTTATGAGCTAACATTGGATAATCAAAACTGTAATAAAATTAAGAAAGATATGTTTATTTCCTCAAGAAAACAATTAGAAGTAACAAATACAAACATTAACTTTAATAGCAATTTTCCCTGCTCGAGACCTAAGACAACACCACTGGAACAGGTACAGCAGAGGACAGCAAATTGCTTGCTTTCATATTTGGTGCACAATTCAAGAGAGAATATTTGGATTATGGGTGGGTGCTAACCTCATTGTGTGTATTGAATGCAACACGCAACTGCACTGGGCTACAAATCTTATTATGCAAGAAGCTGGAAACTTTTCAGAATTTTTCAACAGCAACATTTAAGAGATCATAAAGCCGGTATATTAATTGTGTTTAAAGACTATCAAAAAGATAAAAAAATTTTAATACCTGCCATCCTGAAGGACTTCACATTTCCGATTATTAACAATTCTGTCCATCTTGTGTCTTGCCTGTGATGTACAAAACAAAAATGAAAATTCTTCAGTGTCGATTGTCATGACTTCATCAATCGTGTCTTTTCTATGGCCCTGGCACCATCTAACAGAAATAGCCTACCAGAAATCTGGCAACTCCATTGTTAAGGCGTTGCCTGCTATCAAATTAAGCTATGGGTTGATCACTAAAGTCTTAAATTAGAGGAGCAAACAAAGGGCACCATCCGATAATGAACATATTGCTATGTCTACATTCAAATGCACATGTGGCAGATCTAATCTGAAATAAGGCTTGTCAAACAATTTGCCAATTTTCCATTCTTATGACAAGCACAAAATGTGAGCTGTGACATGAGTGAGCACCTGCTGGAATAGGGGCGAATGGAAAATGGAGAGAAGAAGAAAAGGAATTATTGACTCCAATTCCATGACACATTATTATCAAGTTTTTTTTAATTGGTTGGTGAAGCTGCATTCATCAGGATTGTGGGTGGGAGGAAAAAAAAAGAGAATGGCTTGAGCCTTTCCAATATTGAATCTCCGAAATAAATACGGACAAGTCTAAAACCACAATTTTTGGTTCCATCCACCAACGATCCTGCCTGTTGAAAGTTGCCAGAGACCAAAACTACCAGTTCTTGTCTAGTAAATAGGATGATCCTGGATTCAAATCCCAGCAGTGCCTGTATCTTACTTTAAAAGCTCCTCATTTTTACAGGACACTGAATGGCCTGGACAGGGTGGACATTGGGAATGTTTTCATTCGGAGGAGAGATTAGGACCCAAGGGCACAGCCTTAGAGTAAAGGGAAGACCCTTTAGAACGGAGATAAGGGAAACTTCTTCAGCCAGAGGGTGGTGAATCTATGGAATTCGTTGCCACAGAAAGCTGTGGAGGCCAGGTCACTGAGTATATTTAAGACAGTGATAGATAGGTTCTTGATTGTGAAGGGGATCAAGAGTTGTGGGGAGAAAGCAGGAGAATTGGCTTGAGAAACCCATCAGCCATGATTGAATGGTGGAACAGATGCAGTGGGAATCATGGCCCAATTTCTGCTCTTATGTCATATGGTCTTATGGACTCCAGCTCTGTATGAGCTCTTGACGAGCTAAAATGCTCATCCATGCCCTTGTTACATCGAGACTGAACTATTCCAAGTTGAATAGCCTCTCCACCATTGAGAACATGCTCAGACACCTTTACTGTGTTCACATAGTAAAGAAGACTCAACGTTAGTAGTTCATATTTTAGAATGTGTGGTCAGACAAAAGTAAAATAATTGCTCACAATATCGTCAACAAGATCCTTTACTGCTGTTATTCCCAGCACCACCACCAAAGGCACCAATGTAGTGTACCAAGCCAAGGTTGAGATCTGAGGAATGGCCTAAAAAGAAACAGAAGAGAAAAATTGCTTATAGAAGCTGATATCTCATAATCAGATGATGATAAAATGATTCAATATTCAGGTAGTTCTTATTGTTATTACTTATATACCAGACAGTTGCAGAGGACTCTTGTGGTCTTGTGGTATTGTCCCTACCTCTGAAGTAGGAGAACTGCTCCAAATCCCACCTGCTCCAAAGGTATGTACTAACATCTCTGAACAGGTTAATTTGAAAATATGTACAACACAGGCGCACACATCATTCAAATGCTAAACAGACTGAAATTTTCCACTGTTGCATCACTGCAGATTGTTATGGACTAGACCAAACCCCCTCAAAACATTGAGGGAAAAGCCTAGACCCTAACTTTTATCTTAATTAAAAGGTTAGTGTAAGGGGCTGCATTCCAGATGTGATTCAATTGGTCACACTACTAGACTTTAAGCAAAACATTCTTTATTCTTAAACCACAGTTAAAATACTAACAAAAAATAATTGGCATAACTTTAACTCAATCGTGAAACTTAACAATTACTCATCAACTGTTCTAATTTAGGAGCATCACATAAACACATCCTTGGCAAAGGCAAACTCAGCAAAAGAGATTTCCCTCACTTGCTATCTTCTCCAGTCTAGGAGAAGGAACACAACAGAATCCAGCAGTAGGTGGAGATAACTCAGGCTTTTGCAGCAGCAGTGAGCTGTATCCAGCTTCAACTCCAAAGCCCCAACTTTAACCACTGAAAGCAAAACTAAAACCCTAGTTCTGTGTGAGCTTGACTCCACCCACTCATGTTTCCTTTTTCTAAAATAAATCAAAAACTGCTTTCCATGGAGGAGACACCTAAGCACCAGAATTACAACACATCTCTTCAAGATAAACAGGACAAAACAAATTCCTCTTAAAGGTACATTTCATCACAAGCTAAAAGGCCTCTCATCAAACCCATTCAGAGCTCTTACAATTCCTGTTCAAAATACCCACCTTCTCAGGAATCAAATGAGAAAGATGCAATTTTCATAAAGCTTAAAAAGTAAAAATGCGACCGCATGGATCCCAAAATGCACATATACACTATACAAGAAAAAAAAATCACAATGCCGATTATACACAGCTCCTCAAATCTTCACACTGCTTGTGAAGCAGAGGTGTTGTTCAAGTAAACGTCTCTCATCATAATATATTCACCTGGGTTTCCCTTTCAGACACTCACGGACATGCTTGCTACTTCAAACATTGGCCTGGATTTTCACACGAAGGTCAATCACACAGAGATGGAAGAATTCCTAGTTCTGTGAACCTATCCATTGAAAACCTTTTGTTTTAAATTCATTCATGGGGTGAGGGCATCACTAGCTGGGGCAGCATTTATTGCCCATCCCTAATTGTTAAGAGTCACCCACATTGATGTGGGTCTGGAGTCATGTGTAGGCCAGACCAGCTAAGGATGGCAGTTTCCTTCCCTAAAGGGCATTAGTGAACCAGATGGATATTTCCTGACAATTAACAATGGATTCACGGTCATCATTAGACTCTTAACTCCAGTTATTTATTCAAATTCCACTATCTGCCATGGCGGGATTCAAATCCGGGTCCCCAGAACATTTACCTGGGTCTCTGAATTAACAGTCCAATGATAATACCATGTGGCCATTGTCTCCCCATGGTGCTTGGTCATCAGATTTTATAGTCTGTGGCCTCAGGATGGATAAGACGACAGGGTGGGCTACTCGTGTGGGATTGAGAGAGATCCTAGGTGCAGAGACTATCTGCCTCAAGAATCCAGGACTATGCATGATTAAGAAATCAAGAATAAAGCAGGAAACATTGTTTCAGCTTTCACCCTCCCCGACAGTCCCCAAGAACCATCCTTTCCAATCCAGACCACTTTGTGCCTCCCCTTCCACTCAAAATTCTCTCTCATGCTCCCCCTTTCCAAACTATGCCCTCCCAAGCAATACCAATTGATCCCATACCAAGTTATGCCCCACATACAACCTTATGTCTCCTCATACCTTACATGCAGTGGTATGCCCATCCAACAACTCACCCCTGTCCCTGGCACTTTATAGCACAAAATGCCAAATTAGTGCTAATCATACCAACCCAGGCATCCTCATATCCGACTCTTCAATGTTCTAACTCACCAGTATCTAACAGAGACAGACGTAACTTAATGGAATTTGAGATTGAATATATTTTAATTGTGTATTGCTGATTTCACTACATTGAAATTAAAAGAAACACTTCCTACATTTACATTCCTTCACCAAAATAAAACCTGATAACAATAGACATTTAAATCAAGTGCGCGATCACTTTCAAGATCAAACAAGAGAGTAAATAACTGATAGCTATCAGTGAAAGGGGAAATGGTGGGTAACTGCTGTGATAATGGGTGGTTGTGAAATCAGTAATTAATCCTGTAATGGAAGCCCTTCAACCAGACATCAACCAAATGAAATAGCACATATTTTTATTTATTTTGGTATAACACTCCAGGGCATTTTTTTCAAAGATTTAAAGGGCAGAACCCTTAAATGCATGGACAGCTTAATAGATATCCCCCCTGACAGTTTAACAATTGATTTTGACAGTTCCTTTTTACAGGTCCTCTTGACCAAGTATTCCTGAATTTTGACAAGTGATTTTGACAAGTTTCCCAACTAACCGACAGTGTTGTGGTTGGTTGGCTTGCCGAGTGGGTTCATTGTTCCGCAGACGTTTCATTACCCTGCTGGGTAACGTCATCAGTGCAGCCTCTGATGAAGTGCTGTTGTGTTTTTCCACCTGTTATTTAAAAACTCTGGGTGTCCATTGAGCTGGGTTACCTCATTTCCGGTTTTCCTTTGCAGTGGAGTATATATACAGGATCTAGCTCTATGGGTTTGTTGATGGCCTTCTTAGCGGAGAACCAGAATTGACAGTAGTGACACCAGAAGTGACATTGAGTTCTGAGGAAGCTTTTCCAGCAACTTTGTTTTCGTTCCAGAATTGACAGTAGTGAGCTTAGCACTTTTTATACACAACTGCACTGACTTGAAATTATTCAAAAGGACACCTTAACTTTGTGATAAGCGCAACAAATTTAGTTTCTAGTGTTAAAAAAAGCACCAAGAGGAAGAGAGGTCATGTAATGAGTGAGTTTAAAATGTTCAATAGTTTTCATAACCACTTACTTGAAGGATGAGAAGAATCAAAAAGTAGGCATTGGCTGCTCTTTTAAATTGTTCCATCAGGTTACGTGGTAAAAAAGTAACAACATTGTACTTGTACGTCCGGATGGCATTCCCCTGAAAATAAAATTGGACAAATGTTCTTGTAGATCAGAAAATGTTTTAACATAGTGAGGCATTAAATTGTATACCCAGATAACAGACAGAATGCATGATGAAAACATTACGGTTTTGGAAAGATTTTGAGCTTTAGGGTGTGCAAAAGTTATCGCTAGGCAGAAAATGAGTTAAAAAAAAAATGTTCACTCACTGAATATTTGCTTGTTTTAATGCAACCATACTTTGTAATTGTGAATTGATTGTTAAAGTTTCTGTCATTTGCTTTGACTTTCCATGTGTATTCTGAAAATAAAGCAGAGTGAAGCAATTTCAAAAAAAAATCTGAACAATGAAAGTAAGGAGACTGAATGGATTGTGACATTAATGCTTTGTTTTTTAAACTAAAACTGTTGGATTACCCAGCAACATCAGTTAGACAGTTTTCACTTTTGGAGTGGCAACAACCTTCTGGAAATGTAACTCATCAAAACCTGTTTTGTTGTCTTCTGTATGCAGTGAAGAAATTTATGGCTTCAATATTTAATGAAACAGCCCCTAATTGAAACAGAAACCCAAATTTCCAGATTTCTGAAAGACAGTGTTCAATTGAATTGTCTGGTTGTGACAACAACCTCTAACATAAAATCATAGGAAATAGGAGCATGAGTAGACAAATTGGTCCCTTCAGCTCATTCCACCATTCAATATACCCATGGCAGGTCCCCTACCTTGATGCCATATTCCTGCTTTCTCCCCATACCCCTTGATGACTTTAAAACATAAACATTCATTGAACTCTTTTCAGCAACTTTGTCTCCACAGCCTTCTGTAGAGAATTCCATGGGTTCACTGACTGAGGAAAATTTTCCTTATCCTTGTTCTGAATGGTCTACTCTGCATCCTGAGATAGTAAGAACTGCCGATGCTGGAGTCAGGGATAACCCAGTGTGGAGCTGGAGGAACACAGCAGGACAGGCAGCATCAGAGGAGCAGGAAAGTTGACGTTTCGGGTCAGGACCCTACTTGAGAAAAAAATTCTGCAGAGGGGTCCCGACCCG